GTGACCACCTGTGAATATAAAACACTCAGAATGACATACAGCCTGATGTGATCATTGATCTTCATGGTGGTGGCCTTGAGTCATCACGATGCATTGAATTATGGTCTATGCCGGTTATTTAAGAAAGCATGGAGATATGTAATCATTTCTGGCAAGATTTCCAATTTTAAAAAGTTCGAAAATAATTTATAAAGTGATTTTCTAAAAATCTTAATCAAAACTTTAAAAAGAAACACTGTATCCATAGAAGGGATGTGACAATTTCTCCCTTCCTTTGGCGCGGGTGTTCCTGGGCACCGTGCACTCTAACAGGTTGTTTACGAAAGGATCTTAGCATCCAGGTGCCTGGTGAGGCTGTGACAGTCAAAGGCAGGCAAGTCTGCACATCTTACTGGTATGACTAGTTCCTGTGTGTTTCAAACCTACCCTCAGACTAAGTCTATCTCGAATTTGTCAATTTAACTTCCTTCCTCAATAAACTAATTTAAAACTCTTACTGGAGAGTAAAACTTGTCCTATGAGGGTCAGATGAAATTTACTTTAACTTCAGTCACATCATCACCATTTGCAACCCTCATTATGTGAAAAATACGTGCTGGGATTTTTTTATTACCTCTGGGCTCCAGAGAAAACATTGGGCACGTTTTGAAACTAAAGAAACAATAAATTCATACAGTTTTGACATTGTACAATAGTTGTACAGTATCAGATATTATATAATCCTCTTAATATCTGTATAGTATCTGATAGTGTACAACATCTACTGTTGTAAAATTGTCTTATTAATATCTGAACAATACCTGATATTGCACAGTGTCTGGTTTCAATTAAGATAAAAGGAGAATTTTTACTTAATTTGCTTTATGATTACTAATTCAATCCACGATGTGAACATATGACCTATGATTACTCTTTCTGGATATAGAACTCCGCAAAGATTGGTCCAGCTACTCACAATGATTGCACTCTATTATTAGAATTATGACAAGAGCCCTATAGGGTTTGAAGGTTGGCTTATGGTTCCAATGAATGAATGATATTTGAGACTTAATTAAGGCTTATGTTCCAATGAATGAATGATATTTTGAGACTTAATTACTCAATGCCATGCGCTGAAAATTCAGTTGAAACAATTTCACAATCTTCTGTTCATTCCTATGCATGACTCACCAGTCTCATGTTGAATTGATAGATTTTTTTCCAATTCTTCCATTTTTAGATTTTTATGCTGTAACGCATTGTGTCTGGGACAACTTTTTCCAGCTATGTTTGAAACTATGTTTGAGTTCATAAAATCAATTTTTAAAAATAAGGCCATTTTGCAAATAATTGAACAAAAATATCGTGTGTCCTCAGTTATCTCAGCATCTTAAATGCATGGTTTCATTAATATAGTTATGTCAACCAAAAATAATTAAACACTTAAGTTGTTGACTTTTTTTTTTTTTTAACTTCTACTGAGCCATCTGGGCTACCAGGATGATACTGTCGAGATTATCTGATATTATGAGCCTCATCGTAGTTCCCCGGAATAAAATGATATAGTATGTATTATATAAATAACCCAAACTATTTTGAGTTGACTTTTCAAAAGCTTATATATATGTATGATAACAGTAATTGTATATGTATTAGATAAAATCGCTATGAATTGCTTAATTTAACACATTTCTATGTATCTATTTCTTACAAAAACTGAACCCTCTCCATGTTTACGAGGCAGTTTGGGATAACAAGCAAAATAAACAAGAGCCTTTCTGAGTAAGCGTGTCCATATGCCAATGCAGTTTAGGTCTGATTCAAGACACAGAACTCATTACCTCTGAAAAAATGAAGGCACATTTATTACTGACCAGGAGAAATTCCACCGTATGTAGAATGGGAATCATATTACACACATTTGTAGCTAATTTTCAATTTTTAAAAACAAGTCCAAGGAAGTTAAAATATTCTTTTAATTAGATGCTCGAAGAAATGAAATAAGAAAAACTGATGCAAAGACTCCTTCAAGTTAGGATTTGCAATACAAATATTTTCATCTCTTAACAGGGCAAGCTGATGTGTTCACATCTCCGTTCCAAGCTGCCTCTCTCACTAGGAAACATCAGTATTTTTAAAGCACATTTACAATGCTTTCCCATCACCCTTGCTGTGTTTTTGTAGCACCTATAGCCATAACTGGCACCTGGGGGCCCTGCATTGTTGGCAGTTTCTCTCTCATTTCTTTGGAGTCTATTCAACTGCTGTGGTTTTATTCAGAAGTCAGTGCTTTTGCATATATGATTTCCTGAGACTGTTTGAATAGTCTTTCTCAGAAAACTGTGCCAGTCTGGCTGTGAACAGCTCTTCGAGGAGCTGATAGCAGCCTGGTTGGGTCAGCAGGCTTGGACTGGGGTTCACAGCCTCGCCCTGCCAGCTTCTCTCCCTACCCCCTCTTTTCTTAGCCCTGCCTCAGTGATATCACGGCCCACATCCTGCCATTCCTTCCAAGAAGAGAACAAGTCTAGTCCAGTTAGAAAAAAATGCTGCCCAGGGAACCTCTGCAAAGCTCCCATAAAAACAATTCTTATTTGTTGTTTCACTAACTGATATGGAAGTGATTTTAAATAATAAACAAAACCAGACTGAATAATTCAAACTTCCGTAAGGTTGCAAAGACAGAAGTCCCTACTTCGGGTTATAGATATGAAATTTGGGAACAAAGGTAGCTTTACATTTCTTGATTTGAGTGTACTTTTTTAACATCGTCATCTTGATGGTGCAGTTTTGAGATAATGAGAGCAAAAGTGGCTTTTCAGAAGCTTTAAATGGCATGCTGTTCCAAGGTGCTAAGGTAGAGAGAAGCATTGCTTTAGGAAGTGGCTCATGTGGGTGTATATGTGTTGGTGGGCTGTACTGCTGGCGATCCCATGGTCTTCATCTGTATACCACTGGAGGGAGAAGAAGAAAGGTCAGAATTAGGAAGTCAGTTGTCTTTTTTTTTTTTTTTTAAACCCAAGTGAGTTCTCATTAGCATACATGGAACAACACAGGATGTTTTAATCCTTCAATCAGTTTATAAACTGACATGTGATCAAAGAGGTTTCTCATTTCCTCCTAGAGCTTTTCCAGGGCATGTAGTTCTGTCCTGCAGGAGTCTCTGATCGTCCTTTGCAGGTGCTGAGAAAACTCACTGTGAATTTGGCTTCACTGCATAGTGCTTTAAGGATATGTACAGTTAAAATATCCAAGTCCATTTTCAAATTTGACTCAAAGGACACTTAGAAACACATCATGCATAGGAGGGAATGTTTATCCTGTAAAGCCCACTTTAATTAAGTGTTATCAACTGTTAAATTTCTCCTACACTGCAGTAAGATAAACTATTAAAATAAATGAGTTTTTAGAAAGCAGTTTTTCCTAATATATATCAATAAGGCACTAGAAAAAATCTATTTCAGTATTCCATATATATTTTTAGCATAACATATGAAGTCAAAAGTCAAATGTATTATTTGCAAACACTTTTTCACTGGAATTTCACTGGAATCTCTTATCTGCATGTCTGACATTTATGTAGGATGAGTTGATGACCTGAGGCAAAAATTTATCAACTCATCCCACCACGTGAAACAAGTGGGAAGTCACTGCCAGGCAAACATATATTATGGAGACATAAATTAACTTTCATAAATGGCTTAATGTATCACGTCTTTTCTTTGAACAGTGGAAGGATACACCCCAACCTCATAAGAATCTAACCCCCAAAATATATGCCAGGTTTTGTGGTATCAAATGACTGTCCCAGTTTTACACAGTAGGTGCTGTTTGAACTGAGCACGGAGCAAAATGTGTATGTTAAAAGAGAGTGAGGGAAAGCAGGCTTTTTAAGCTAATACAGACAAGAAAGGACTTAACACAAAAATATCTAGCGCAACACACACACATATATAATCTTTGTTTCTTCTTAATCTGAAAAGGTCTAGTGCATAAAATGAATTTGACTTAATACCTAGAAACATCCTCTGAATAGGCAACAACAGCTCTAGCCATTTCCGACTTAATAAAACCAGCCTAATTGTTTATAACCTGTGGTGTTCAACAAAAGATAACATGGAAGTTGCAAAAACTGAAGCGCACTGATTACTGATACCCCACTGTTGTTAGAAGGGCTAGTAACACATACTAGAGATGGATTTGCATATTTGACCTGAGCTACTATCATGCTGGTTTCACTTTAGAATTACTCTGCCCTGTGGATAAGTGGATAATCTTATCACTGGCTAAGTGATTACTTTTTAATCAAAATAGGGAGAGACGGGACAATCACAGGACTAGGGTTTTGACCCTCTCAGGATATGCAATATTGTGCTTCTCAACCCCCAACTGTATGATATTGAACATGACTCTCTTTATGACTCAAGGATATCACTTCTTCAACTTCTCATTGGAAAAATGACTCCTTTTGCTTCCGTCCCCCGTCTCCTGGAACCTCTGTGAGGAGAAGTAGTTCCAAGAGGGGAACCAGACCCCACCAGGAAGTTCCCTCCCCTTGCAGGAAGTTTTGCTATACCATTGACTGGAAATCCACTCCAGCATCCACCAGGGCTTTGGAGATCTGAGCTGACTGCTGAAAGTGAACGTTATCTGCAGGGAGAGAAAGGAAACATAAAGTAACTAAAAGCCCGCTCCATTTTTCTGGTAGGAAGGGTGGGAAAGGCACAAGAAGAAAGGGACTGTTTGAAGTTCTAGGATTCAGCATCCCATTTAGGCCAAGACAAGTGAGTTGTGGAAAAGCAACACTGTTTTATTGAAGTAAATGTAACAGTCTTGCCCCTCATGCTTTTGTTTTGTCAGTAGTGAAATTGCAAACCTGTCTGTGATACTAAAAAGTCTAATTAACTGAAACTCACCATCTGCTGTTCCATGAATAAGGAGGTACTCAACTTGTTTAAAATTTTCAGCTCTGCTCATGACTGTTGAATTCTGGAATTGGGAAAAAGAATGTCATTATTCAAAAAAAGATCTGCCATAAACTGATTTTTCACTTCAGTTTACAAAATAAAATGTTTTCAGCTGGGGCCCCCTTTGATACAAAATATAGCAAACCGATATTCAAGCAAATGCTGTCTCCATGCATGGCAGAATGTACAGCATGCCCTGTCCCTGTGAGACAGGACCGGAAAGGGAGGATGCCACATCTTCCCTGCACATGCAGAAGAGGGCATCTGCCCCCCCAGGCTGCATGCGAAACCCCTTGAGTCCCAGATCCCAGATTGGCTGTGTCCTATGCATTAGCACAGGGCAGAGTCTCATATTAGCAATGTATGTTCCATGGGCTTATGCTGTAGTTCAGCCAAAAAGTGTATTGCCATGGCAACCATGTGTCACATGGTGCCATACATGCTACATTTCAAAGAGCCTGTACATAGCATTTGCAACTAAACATACTCTGCAATATGTCATATGAACTTTGGTCCACATTGCTAGGCTCTGAATGAGAAGCAAGTATTACCTTTTTTGGAACAGATGTTTAAAACCTAGGCAAATGTAACATATGGGAGGGGAAAGGGGTGAAAAAGATCAAGTATGGCCTTAGAAAATCAGTGGGTGGTTGTTGTCTGCCTCATTCTGCATTGGGGAAAGTGCTGCTTTTGGATCAAGCCAGGGAATTAGAAACAACTGGGAGGTCAGCTTTTTGAAGGCTGTTTCATGACCTTGGACAGGTAGGACTTCTAGAATGAAGGTGGAGTCTTTGGTGGAAAAGCTTTGAAAGTATAGAACTAGTCATCTGGTCTTAATCTGGAGATGTTTGCAGAGTTGCGATGAAGGTAAGACTGTCATAGACATTGTAGCAACTTTGGGAAGGGGTGAGCGGGACTCTGCTTCTGTTGTTGGGCAGAGGAAGGGCCGGTAGCCTCCCTATGGGTTTAAAATCAGCCAGCTTATCCTGCAGCATCTTGGTGAATCAAAGTCAACTTTATGAGAGGCAAGGTTTGTGTTTTACAGATATCTTTGTAGCTAACATCAGCTTAATATTTTGATGGGAACCCTGAAGGTCTGGCTGGAAGGGGATGGGGCTAAGGTCCGAACGTTTGTATTCTAGCCCCAGCTTCAACATCAGAGAGCTGTGCACCTAGAGACATGCTGCTGAGTGCTGTTTTCTTTGAAATGGGAGGAAGATTAACTCTTCTTGCTCTCACTGAAATAGAAATCAAGAGACATGGCTTTTTTTAAGGTTAAATTACGGTGATGTGAGGATGGTGTGACACAGTGTTTCTGGAAAAAACACATTCTGTCTACAACTTTCAGGACAAAGTCACCCAACATATCTGTGTTGACTGAGGTGATCAAGGTGATCTTTTCCTGGAAAGCTTAGAGCAAAGGCCCTCCCACTCCTGTGCAGGCTGGGTCCCACTTGTCCTGACCATATGGCATTTCTGACCCAAATTGAGAATTTACCCATGAACTTTCAGAATAAACGCCCAGGACTCATTAAAAGTCGCACTTCTGTTTTACTTTAAGAAACGTGTTATCTGGTGAGATGTCCCAGATGAATCCATCCATCCATCCCAACATTATACTCCATTCATTCTTCCATCCATTCATTCATTTTTTCAAGTCGATCAATATTGATTTGTCATATACCCAACTAAACAATGAGATCCATGAGAAGAGGAATTTATATTGTTCATTACTCTATCCTGAGCATTTAACAGAGAGCTAAATATCAATTCAAGGAATGAACCAAAGAAATGGAGGCACTTATATCGTACTCTTCACTACATTCGGTCCTAGTCTTGCAGAGGCAAGTGGGAACAGCTAGGGGAGGTGGAATAAAATATTCTCATTCTGAAACTTACCAAGATATGTTTTGCCCACTTTCAATCCATACACCATGCCATTAGTAATAAGAGCTGATACTTATTGTGTACTCCGTGCCGGTCACCCTGCTAAGCATCTTAAAGGACTTATGAAAGCACTGTTCTATTTAATCCCCACGACATTCGTGCAAGATAGGTCTACAGCAACCCCGCTTCTACACAGAGACAATAAAGCACACCAGGTTACATCAGGAAGAAGTCGGAGCTGGACACAAAGTCTGATGGCAGAACCTCTTTTACCTCCTATGCTGCACTGAGTCTCCACTAAACTTCCAAGCTGCTCACGATGTGGTCTTCCAGCAAAGATACAGGGAGAAAGAAATTGTTACTGAACTGTTCTGGGATTTGCAGTACACAAACACACTGGGTGTTCTTTGCCCCCTGCGTTCTCATGCCTTCTTAGAGTGAATTCATTGGAAGAGAGCTGGCTCGCACAGACCTTCGAGACTTGTGAGGCGTTTTGGACTGTGTGGTTGATGCAGAGCCTAATGAAGCAACAGAACCCTGAGCGATGTCCTGCCCTGGAGAGAGGAAAGGGTCAAAATCAATCTCCCAAAAGGCCAGTGTAGGATTCAAAGCTGGCGACAGCAGAGGCTGGGGCTGAGCCACCAACGGTGAACATTGCCAGTCTGAGCCCCAGACCCGGCGCCCTCATCCGGGTCCTCCTGCACCATCCTTTCTGCGGCTACACGGCTGTCTCCTCCACCTTGTTTCTCCCCACAAGAAACCCAGCTCTTCGCGTGCCAAAGACAGTCAACTTTAGCACCTAGACGTGGCCCAAATATCCAGCTGTGTCACCTCCCCTCCCCTCCAAAAGCCTCTCGGGCCTTCCTTGCGCGGCAGAGTGCACAGCAAAAGCTGCTCCACGACCTCCCTGAGCCATGAGACTGAGAAATGTCGCTGAAACATAGAGTAATAGTTAGGAGACATATAAATACGCAGGACAGTTAGCAAGGAATGTGATAACTACTGGAGTTTGGACCAAAACAGTTTCTGGCTGCCTTTTTTTTCTTAAATGGAGTGAATACAGGCTGAAAGAAGACAATTTTTATAAACAAGTAAAACCCTGAGCCTAAGATAAATGTTGTGATGTACACACTGTAGCTGTGATGAACTAGACATGGTGAGAAATGCAACATACTGAGAAAAAGACGAAAACTGTGATAAAAGTGTCATGATGCAAATTGTTTTACATTAACAATATTACACTACAAAGAAAGAAAGACAAATACTTTAATGCAGCAAGGGAAAAATAAAACAAAAGCTTCCCCTGCAACCACAAGATAAGTGTGTCATTTCCAATGCACACGTCCCCCTGCTCGCTGGGAGTTGCGTCAAGAGGGACCTCGCAGTGCACGGGAAGCCAGGCAGCCTCAGGCACGCACCCATTTCAGGGCTCGCAGGCTCCTGAGAACATTTTGCCCTCCTAGAAAGATGCAGCTGTGTCACCTTGCCTCTGGAACCACCGATCATTCCCTACTAGACTGAGCATCCTGGCTTCTCAATAGAGAGAGACTCTTGACAGTCCGGCACACTTTAACCCATGAAAGACAGCCAAAGTCAGTGAAAGAAATGCATGCACTACGTTAAGGGAGAATTAATGACCAGAAATAATTCAATTGTGCTATTTCAACCCACCAAAACAGGATAATCCCCATTTGCCTATCGATGGAAACAGAAGTAAAAAAGGAAATGGATGACTAAGTTAGAAGCCGAATAGTCTGTCACCAGCTCCTAAAAAGGAAGTTTAGAGTGATAAATGGGCAAGGATGCAATGGTGGTGCAGTTGGCACTCTCCCGAGGCTAGAAACTTCCGGAGAGCCCCGCTGCCAGCAACAGCCTGGCAAAGTGAAGTGGGAAGGATGGGTCCAGTGGCAGCGCTGATCCACGGCATCTCTGCGAGGAGCTTTTCCTTCAAGCCCCAAGAAGAACCATCTGTAGCTGCTCATTGGATCGTGCTGGTTCCTCAGTTACCTTCCAGCAAATAAATCTTTGTATTTTTGAAATAAAAGAGAGAGCTGATAAGAGTGGGGAAGTACTGTGAGAAACAGAAGGTCTGACAATTTCTAAGCTACCCCTTGCGCCATCCAGGAACCATACGGACAATTTGCTTCCTGAGAATAATGGTGGCAGCCTCCATGTTTTTGTAAGCTTATTTCATGGCAGGCATAGGTGTCTCGTTTAATCCTTTCAATAATCCCATGAGGTAGCTCTGATTCTCCCCATTACTCAGATGAGGAAACAGAGGTTCAGAGAGGTTTAGTAACCTCTCCTAGCTAATAGGTGGTGGAAACAGAATTTTAGCACAGGTCAAACTCAAAAGTCCGTGCCTCTTAACATCATATTCTAGTGTCCCTTCACTTCGCAGCCAAACAACGCACTGTCATTTCCAAGCTCTGGTAGAGAAAGCAAACAGCCACAGGTGTAATGGACACCCTATTACTTCAGTGAGACAGTACCCCGAGTGTACTGACTCGCTCTGTGCATTCTTCCACTTGTGACCGAAGCCTCGTAAATAATATTAAGTGAGGCTGTTTGGGGAAGCACCATTAATGCCACAACAGAGGCCACAGAAAATTTTTAAGGAAAAATTAATTCAACCCACCACATCAGATGTTTTACTTGTCCGTATCCATCAAACAACTGTACAGGTGAGATGCCAAGGAAAGAGCTCCCATCCGCCTACAGGGGGCCCTACCTCAGGCCTCACCCAGCAACACTGGCTTCTTTAAAGATCACACAGCAGTCAACATTTTATCAGCACTCAACAAACAAGTTAAGGTTTGGCTTAAATCTGAAGGTCTCTCTCCCTTTGGCATATTCTAGGATAATAGAACAAATGTCAAATCAGTACAAGATGGCATATTTACAAAATTGCACCCTGTTTTGCATAACCTAACGATGCAGCAGTTCTTAAGGATTGAACATTTCAAATCTGCTAGCAGAAGACTGCCAAATCTATGACTGTTTCATACACTTGCCAAAAGCCTATCAAATTCTGAGCAAAATGCAAAATAAATCTCCTCTACAAGTTAAATCAGTCCCTTCTGTGTGTTCCAGGCTGCCCTCTTCTCCTGGCAACGAGGCTCAGGACTTGGGCCCCGTTTCTCTTGCCCTTGATCTGACGCTGCTCTCTGGAAGTCCATTCCCTCCCTGGTCTCCCATCCTGCCTTATTAGCCACCATGTGGCCTGCTCCTCCCACATCCCTGCTCTGTGTTATCCCTCGGTTCACCCAACCTGCTTCACAGATCCCCAGAAAACCAGCTCTGCTTGCTGCCACTCGTGTGTCTACTGTGCTCCCCTGCCTTGTCGGTCCCTCTGGCAGCCTGTGGAGAGCACCTACGCTATTTCCCTGCATCTCCCAGAAGTCTTCCTTAACTGGCTCCAGATAAGTGCCCTCTCCCTTTCCTACCCCTCAGTAGCTACATCTTATATAACTTTTTGTGCCTCCGTTTCTGGGTCAATAAAATGGAGATAATTAGAGCACTTATCTCAGAGAATCTGAGGGAGAACTGAACCTAATAACCCATGGAAAGAGCTTAGAACAGTGTCTGGCCATAGAAGCAACCACTTACTAAGTGAATTAAAAAAATGAATGAAATAAATGAAACCAGATCCCCCCCCGGTTGAGAGGAGTGGGGGGAGGTGAAACCCTAACTTCTCAGCCACTTCCCTTCCCTCCCTACATGCTCAGAAGGCACAGAATTCCTGGGGCTCCAGAGTCACAATTTGGAACTACTAGTCTTTTCCATACATACTGGGCACTTTGTCATGTTCAAGTTCATGCTTTATTACTACTCTCTTTTGTTTTTTTTTTTAAATTTATTTATTATTATTAATTTTTTGGCTGTGTTTGGTCTTCGTTTCTGTGCGAGGGCTTTCTCTGGTTGCGGCAAGTGGGGGCCACTCTTCATCGCGGTGTGCGGGCCTCTCACTGTTGTGGCCTCTCTTGCGGAGCACAGGCTCCAGACGCGCAGGCTCAGTAGTTGTGGCTCACAGGCCCAGTTGCTCCACGGCATGTGGGATCTTCCCAGAGCAGGGCTTGAACCCATGTCCCCTGCATTGGCAGGCAGATTCTCAACCACTGCGCCACCAGGGAAACCCTATTACTACTCTTTTATTTCTCTTCAAAAATTTTGCCTGTATGTTTTGTCTCACCAACAAGGTAATCAACTTCTGAACAACTAAAACACCAGGCACCTCGAATGGGTGAATGAAAGTCTACCAGGTGTTAATATTTTTTTTTACAGGTTTGACTAAAAGACCTGTGATTGACCATGGAGAGACCATTCATCAATGTTAGTCAGGAACCCACTCCTCGAGGTGGGACCACGGTTGCTATCTGCTTATCGCTATTGGGGGTGAGGGTTGTCTCATTGTCTATCTGATTCTTTTGCTCAAATCTGTCGCCATTTCTGTCGGCTGTGGACTGAGACTCGGACTGAGACTCATGGCAGCGAGTCTGCTTATACTGCTTATTAGCTACACTGTCATCCCTCCACTCTGCCTGCCTACTTAGAGCTTCTGGGACCAGCTTCTCGGAGTTTCAGGGAGATGAACAGCTTCCTTCCTCTTTGAGTCCCTGGTATCCTTTAAACATGCTCCTACCCTGCCACTCGGCAGTGGGTAGGTGACTATCTACAAAAAGGGTCGTATGGAGTCACTGTTTGTGTCATTGCATTGTGTCCAAGCCTTAGTCCCAGGGTCTCCTAATTTATATGGCAGCTTTGTGAGAATAAGAAAAGGCACTCCCTCCGGTTGGATGCGGCCCCAGAGGTGCACGCCTTAGAGAACGAAGCATAGACTAGCTTCCAGCAGTGCACAAGCTGAACAACTATACATGACATCCCTGCCTGTTCCATTTGCATATATAAATGGTTCCTTCAACTTCCTTTCCTAAATAGTAAGTAGGACCTTTATTTCACAAAATGTGCTTCTCTTGGTGTGCTTGTCTAAATTCTTTCAAATCTGGGTCATCAATGACTTAAAAATGAATCCTCTCCTCATTTGAATTTTATTAAAAATTACGTTCTCTTCCAAAGGCTGTAATTCTGGCTACTGATAATGATTCTATAGCTGAAAAGGTGTACAACGATCACAGGACCTTGCTTATTACACACTTCAATCATTCCTATCCTGGATGTGCTGGAGAAAGTCAATAGTTTAGACTACCTGGGACTCATTTTCAAACTATTTCCTCCTGACCTACGGAAATGCACAGAGCAGCGAAAGCCAGTAAGGAATTGTCTCCTTTGTCTTTTCCAAGAGGGCAGAAGGAGGGAGGGAGAGAAGGAGAGAGAAAGGGAGGAAATAAAAACAACCTGGGAAAGAGAAGTAAAAGAAGACAGGGGTCCAGAGGGGCAGCTGGGGCCTTGGAGGAAAATAGAATCTTTGAATGTGTTCCTGCCAGAGACAAAAGCACAGGCTCATTTAAAAAACAAAGGAAGGCAGCTTTCTTCTAAAGCCTGCTGTGCACCAAATATAGGTACTTAGATTCAGTTCTCCACTTTCTGAGGATGCAACTTACAGGGCAGAAACAATACAGTGAACGCATTTGCCTTACTTTCTCCTACCCACCTTAACTGTCACCCACCCAAATAATTCCTCTGAGTAACACATTGGGAACCTTTAGCTCTCTGGTACTGGCAGTTTTAATGTGTCCATTGCCAGCAATGAATTTTGTGCCAAGAAAACCCGACTTCTGGCGTGGAAGGATTAAACAGTCCTCGGGTGCCATCTGTGCAGTGAAGTGAGACAGTGACTTTGTGCTCCCAGCGTTCGTGTATTGCCATCGGTAGGAGGAAGAGATTTCTATTTACATGACTACCTCAGGCAGAGACCATCTAAGGGGAGAGATGAAAATGGCCACCTCAGTGGTGGGTAGAGTTGGAGAAGAGGGGGATGGGTGTGGGAAGGAAAAGCCTATGGGAAAATCTGGAAAAAGGTACAGGTTGACATGGGAGATTAAAACGAATTATCCTCTACGGGGAGGGCTGGTTGAAGAGGAAACACCCTGTTGGCTGATGTCCTTGAAGTGCAGTAGGGTAGGTGCTACGGACTTCCTTGGATGTCAAGGTTTAGACTTGACCCTGTACTTCTAGGTTCAAAGGCTTTCAAAATGGGATTTTTAAAATGAACTTTTGACTCATCATCCACCAGGTTCTAGAGTCAGGATGAGGGTCCTGGGCAGTACATCTCTGATGTTTTTGGGAGTTTTTAGTACTTTAGGATATTTGACAACACCCTTTAGCCATGTCCCAAATATGGCACACCACAGGAGGGATCCTGGTCGGGTCACTAGCAAGAAAATTCCAGCTGTAAAATGAGAGAAATGATGGAGACATATAATTTTTACAACAATGTTTCCCTTCAAAAAGTTTTAAAATTAACTCAAAAAAGGTTTTAAGGTTTCTATTTCATACTGGGTGATCCAAAGAATACAATGTTGAGCAAAGCCTTGAATGACTAATAATACTGCAGAGGGGAAAAAGGAGTACAAACTAACAATGGTCCAAAATGGATAAATTGAGGATTAAAGATATACAAGGAGGGGCTTCCCTGGTGGCACAGTGGTTGAGGGTCCACCTGCCGATGCAGGGGACACGGGTTCGTGCCCCGGTCCGGGAGGATCCCACATGCCGCGGAGCGGCTGGGGCCGTGAGCCATGGCCGCTGAGCCTGCGCGTCCGGAGCCTGTGCTCCGCAACGGGGGAGGCCACAACAGTGAGAGGCCCGCGTACCGCAAAAAAAAAAAAGATATACAAGGAAAATGTCATGGGAGTCAAGAGAGAATGCTAGTCCTCTGGGTGAGCAGGACACGTTTCCTAGTGGATGAAGACAGAGGGGGAATGACATTCCAGGTCGAGGAACAGAGGACAAAGGCACAAAAGGGAAAGACCCAGAAATATTCAGTGAACATTCCAGGTAAACTGGGCCATTCTAAGAAAGGTGTTGAACACCTGGTTAAAGAATGAGGGCTGGACTAGTTGAGTGCACAGGAAAAGTCCATGAAAGTGTTACGGGTGAGGCTTAACCTCACACCTCTGTGTGGTACAGGCTGGAGTGTAGAAAGATAAGCTAAGGGGGGACCCATGGGGTTACTGTTGTAGAAGGAGGTAGTCATGTGACAGCAGCAATGTGGTTATGGAGCAGGGAAAGGATGTCTAAAGCAGCTTATTGGATGTGGAGGAGAAAGAATGGGAAAAACTGAGTCCAAAGTATCATGTGGGACGCTCAGCAGAAATAAGGGCAACCGGATTACGGGACTGCTTGGTAGTGGAAGATGATTGGTACATCACACTTTACAGGTTGTTACTTTTCTATCTTGACTGGAAAACACACACACACCCAGGCACAAACACACGCATACACCTCCCCGCCCCTCCCCCACAAGCCTTGCTAAATAAAACTGAAAGGAAGAGGTAAAACTAAACTGTCTGTACGTATCTTGCAAAATTAGAAATTTTATTTGCATTTTCTTGTGCTTTGATCAAATGGCTTCAGAACCCATAATAATGATGACATCTTACAAAAATGTACAAATATGGCTCAGAGCGATGTATGAATAGGAGGCCCAAGCATTGAGAGCTGTGGCCCAGATGTGGAGGAATTGTGGTCTTAAATTGTATGGGTTATTGTTTTTTTTTTTTATCCTGGGAGGAGTTTTGAATATCCTCCGGAGAATGTAAACATCGGATGATTGACCTTGTCATCTGTAAGTTTCAGGGTTTTCAATTTACATGACAGAATCAGGAAAGTTGTTTTTTTTTCTGGCTGGGGGGCAATGTGTTGGAAGGATCCCTAGTACTTTGGCTGACACTTCCAGCTGCAGCAGGCTGCCACCAAAGAGAGGACCCTGGCTTTGCGGTGGCACCCACACTAGCACACGGGGACCGCCAATGATGGCTACACCCAGACCATATTTCAGATGCTATAGCCCATCTGCACAGCAACCTGCCCACTGACTCTTCCATCAGGCAACCAGCCCATGGATGCTATTCAGTAACTTGGGTTCAAGGGCTTTTCAGAGTATTACCCTCCCGTACCTACACCTCACCTGCTTTACTCAAATCTTGTGTGAAAAAAACTGTACATATTTGGCTATGAATAAGAAAATTATAGGCTTGTACATACAACTTAATTATGATAATACCATAAGAAATTTTAATATGTAGTTAAAGGTTTAGAGAGTCTTCTGGGCTCTAAAGGAATACGTTGAATTTGACATGTTTTCTGAACTGAAACTTTTATAATTAAAGTAATTATCTGGTGTTGCTTTGTATTTCCAAATGAACGCATATTGTGACCTATATAGCATACGATAAAGGCTGTAATTACGCAGAATATAGTACGGGAAGCTATTGGAGTATCTCTAAACCACCTGTGTTATTTCTTTTTAACAAGAATTTCATTGGAAATTTAAAAAATATATATTTTCTGGAATAGATCCACTTAAAAATGTTCTTATACCGCTTATAAATAGGTTATAAAATGGATCTAGTTCACCATCTCTTACCCTGTAATGGTCAAGGTTGTCTTCTGGAATTGGAAGACCCATGTAACGTTCTGTGTACACTGAGTCTGTGATGGAGAAAAGAAAAAAACTTAATTCATACAATAAAAACTTTTTTCCCTTTTTTTTGGGTTACTTTATATGCTTTCATATTCTTTACTTGTGCAAAGGTCTATAGTGTTACCCTCAGAATATCTCCTCCAGATCGTCTCTACTTGGCTTTTTAAAGCAGCCAGACTCCTGCCTTTCCATACTCAGCCCTATAGCCCATTCCCTTCAGCCCTTCCTGTGAGGGCAGAGGGAGACCAAACCAGGTGATCTAAAACCCAATCAACAACCTGCCTGCAGAAAAGTCAAATGGGAAGTGCTAAGTGATAAGGACTCTACATTATCTTCTGACCCTCTCAAAGATCTTGATTAGCAAGTCAGGTAATGTCTCAATTGTCTTGAATTTCTTGGTCCTGACATCAGTCAGTATATGCTTTACTTTAGGATACTCTCTTCCCTACTGGAAACTCCTCATAATTTTCAATTACTAGTTGCTTACTTAAATCATATATTGTTTTTGGTGGAGGGGAGACAGATCAAAAGGAAAGAAATCAGTTATCATTTATTTGCTGTAAAACCCTATAACGTCTCAGCTACTCCATCATAATGCAAGTTAAACATCTGTTTTCTCTCATTTTGTGGAGAGGCCTCAATTCTGATGTTATAACTATTGAGTATTGAGAAACAGATTACATTAGTATCTGTGCTGAAGTGACATAAGCTGTTTTATCTATAGATATGGCAGAAAAACATATGCATTGTTGGTTTGGTTATTTAAACATATTTTTGACCTAATTTAAAAAAATTAAATCATGTATCAAATGTATGTGTGTGTGTATATATATATATATATATATGTGTGTGTGTGTGTGTGTGTGTGTATGTATTTCCTAAAATATCAGTGAGAAAATTTACTGTGGCTGAATTCCAATATAACTTTAAAAATCTGAAATAACTGTTTTTGAAACATGACCAGGTTACAGTAAATAAATAAGTATAACATGTTTCCATTGTGCTACATAGGTTAATGGCTTGAATTTCACTATAATTGTACCAGTATTTCAATATTGATTTAATTAATTATTTAGAAAAATATATCATCAAAACAACAAGCTTAAACAACATCCTAACTAACCCTTTGTGAATGACTGGAATTGGAGATTAAAAACTACATTGATAACTAATGTTAGTTGTTCCATGTGTATTGCTCATGCTTTTCCTATGGAAATCAAAATATTTTCCTCCAAAATGAGTAACAGCAATATTTTATCATTTTGATTAAAGTGAATACAGACTACAAGCAATTTTACATATCTAGAGGACACTAATATATAAAATATAGTATCTTAAAGTACACTTTTAAAATATAAGATTTTCCTAAAATGCTCATCTTTTAACATTTAAATATGAATAACTTAGGTTATACATTTAATGGAGGGGGTGGGGGGGAATAGCTTTTAAGGGCAAAATAAAAATTTCCCCAAACAGCTACAATTTTTCTTGTCCTAGAACATAATACCCCTTTCTTATGATGCTAACCAGGTTTACATGTGTAAGAAGGTCTCAAATTTTAAAAATACTATTTAAAAAATGCTTAGTGTTGTGGTTGTAAACTTTTAGAAGAAGTACGTCTTGCAATACCACTTATGTCCTCCTTCAATTGGATTTTTGAGTAATATTGTTCAAATTTGCACATATATAAGAATTCTAGAAAGTTCCCAAGTGTTAGGTTGGTCCATATATGTTTAATAACGTTCTCTTCTTACCATTATGTAGTTCCAAACTCACAAAGGTTGTTTCTATTTTATTGACCACCAGAGGTCTCCAAAAACAAGGCTTCCAATAGAACAATTAATATTAAGCAGGAAAGAATTACCTGAAAGCAAATCTATTGTGTGAGGATCAATCCTAACTATGTTCTCCAATTTTTTTTGAAACTAAAAGACGGTGTGGTCTCTTTTATACATTGGCTTCTCTTGACTTGGAGAGGCTTTAAAGAAGAGTTTTCCACAGGACTGGTACTGCGATATATTAGGACATTAAATATTTAATGAGCATATTCATTATGAATGATTCTATCCTTATACTGAATAAAGGACTTGAGATGGGGTAGGAAAAGATACAGGAAAGTAATTCACCTTCTCACCACCTCTGGCTCTTCCCCCCTACCTAGTGTTTCACTGCTTACCTGCTCCCACTTGGGAATTATACCTTACATGTGTATGATAGAGCAATACTTTCTCAGCAGTGAACAGGATATTCTAGAGTGGCTTTCACCTACTCAGAGACAGTGCAAACAAAACCCCCAGGAATTCCCCTGCCCTAGTCTCTTCTTTCCACCCAAAGTCCTACTTATATTTGACTTTTACCTGAAGGGAAAGAGATACATACTTCTCTTCTTGTTCTAATATGTGAAGCTTCAAACTCAAGTTAGAATAAAAAGAAGGAAGCGTTTATCTAAAGAATTGTAGCATTGGGGATGTTTTAAAATGTGGAAAACTGAGTTTGTTGATAAGACATTTAGAAAACAAAATTGGTTGGTAACTAAACGTGTAGATAGCATTTACTACCGTCTAACATTTCACAATGGCAGAATAAGTGAGACTGTTTCATTACAGGTATCCATAAAGTACTTCTAAGATGAATCAGTTTATTTACTGTAGAAACACTGAAACTCAAAAAGGAATGGTTTTGTCATTGGAATGTGAAGGTTCACACTCAGTAACTCTGTACCTGTGAGTGATCACTTACCATAGTACTCCCACTTTGACACGGGCGCCACGGCTATTCCACACTTGAACACGCCACTTCCTGCTCCCAGGACCATTGAGGTTACATACCCTCCATATGACTAAGAAATGGATACAGTTATTTTTATGGAGGTAAAGGAATTAAGGACATATGGTAAGCAAGTCGCAGTTTCCACATTTCTCACATCTTTATATACTGTGCCTCTTTTGAGATAGAAAGCATGGTAGAGAAGGTTTAAATTGGCCTTAGTTGGGTAGTATCTAAAGACTACACTTTCAGAGCCCTGGTCCCTCTTCTTGGTAGGTGTAAGGGGGAAAGTATTGAAAATTTGCTGGGTAGTACTAATTGAAGACAAAAAACGAACCAAAACCAAAACCAAAATAAAACCTCCCAAAACCAAAAAAGCAATAAACACTAAATCTTTACTGACTTGGACCCATGAGAAAAAGTCTCCCTCCTTCCCTCTCTCCTTCTATCCTTCTTTTCCTTTATCCCTCTTTCTCTCCTTTATTCTTTTTCTCCCTTCCTCACCTCCCTATCCCATTGTAATAAACAAAAGTGTAAGCCTGGGGGGACTCATCGCCCAGAAATCTAAGACATTGGACCTTCTTAGATTGAAATGATTGACGTGATTTTCACCTCCAAATATGTACAAACAAAAGTAAATGATCCTGCTCTGGGTTATATTCACTAAGGAAGGTGTACAGATTCATCAGCCAAACTACTCACCCAGCCCCAAATTGCAATCCGTTTGTCATCCACAAATCCCATTTTTGAAAATTGTCTAAAATACATGGAACAAGTCCACGAATTAGTATCACACTGTGTATAGAAAACTAAGATAACTGCACAAATGTGAGAAACCCTGCCATTTGTTCTCTATTTCATTCTATTAGAAACAAAGATTCATTGCTGCCAGCAATCAAATAAACACCTGAGATCGATGTCTATCTTTTTTAACTTGAGCCAGATGAACAAGGTTTACTTGTGTTGGAGTCCATAAAAAAATGTGTGTGTGTGTGTGTGTGTGTGTGTGTGTGCTTCACAGAAAACAAATCCTGGCTGTTTTTTTCACAGCTTTATATAAAAATTTGCAGCCCAGATGCACTTTTCTTTACATAATTGAATTTAAATCTCTCCAGATGTTTTACAGTTTGAGAGAGGCTGTCCCTGCAATGGAGAAGTATAGAGGTGTGTAGAACATCTGGGTAGGGCTTAGAAATGTCTCTGGGCCCCCTACCTGAGAACTTAAACATCATTCTCTAAATACATCCCTCCTTATGATGGGTGTTGATTAGTTAGCTCAGCACTATTAAATAAGAAGCAATTTTTCCTTGACGGATTAAGAAGTCTTTTTGTCATTAAATTGTGTTCAGGATTGGAATCCAGGTAAAGAAAGGAGAAAAAGGTTCTTTGCGTATATTTCTTAATCTTAGCCTTACATCAAAAGGTAATTTGTTTACTTTAAAAAAAAATCTAGCAAATGGGGCCCTTAACTTTGCAATGTCAAGGGAGGAAGGGGACCCTTGCATTGACTTATATGTGACTTTAAAAAGCTTTGTTTTCAATTGATGATATGTCTTAGACTGCCCTGAGTTAAGCAATATTAGAAAAACTTCAATGTAAATAGTTTTCAACTCATTATCCTCTCCACGCAAACCTTTTAAACTTAGAACACATATGTACAGAAATGTGCACCAAATCATGCCTGTACAAGCTGGTAAACCTTTACAGAGTGAGCATACCTTGAACCAAAATATAGGACATTACTATCACCCAGAAGCCTCTGTGTCATTTCCCTCTTTGGAAAAAGAAAAAATGAAATGTCTTCCTTTTATTGGAGTCCATAAAAATTTCACCTGAATTTGTACCCATATAAATTGGGTCGTGCAGGATATACACTTTTGTTCCTGGCTTCTTTCACTCAACAGTCTGCGAGATTCATCTGTGTTGTTGTGTATAGTTCCTTTTAGTTGCTGAAAAGCAGCTACTCATTACTTTTTAAATGGAGTTGTAGATTGTGGATAACACAATTCTATCATTTTAGACTTGAGAAGACCTGGAAATAATGCCCTCTCTCACAGAGGACCAATCTGGATAAATAAAAATGTGTTTGTAAAATATCAAAGCCTCACTCCTGAACCAATTTATCCTCTCTCTTTTCTAACCTTTTTTTTTTTTTTACTTTCAAGGATAATAGCTAATCATTAACTTTGATGTAACAGACTTAGCGATACTTAATAAATTGTCATCTTCTCTCCTCTTTGGTTGTTCCTCTTTTTAAAGGCATTTTCCTCCGTCCATTTAATCATTCACAATTTTTCTCCATTTCCTAGTTTATGGTTTCACAACATTATTTAAAATCACTGACTTACTTTGCTTTCCAGACATCTATGCAGTTGGTTATAGAAACTCAAAGACTACATTTCCCATTTACCAGTTGAATGCAATTGAATGTAAGTTGGAGGGAGACCTAGTTTCAAATCCTGACCAGTCTTGGCAAATTACCTAACCTAAGAGCCTCCATTTCTTTACCTGAAGTGTAAGGTATGAACACCCACCTCTCAGGGTTGCTGTGCAGCTTCAATGAGAATGCAGGTAAAACACTGCATGTTGCATGTGCATTCCAGGGTAACCATCATTCATGACTAAAATCTTTCTTAAGCCATATCACATCTATTTATAGTCTCATAACTGATGTCATTCATCCTTAACAAAGCCCTTATAGTTGTGAGTGACAATGGTCGTGTTCCACAATTTTCCCAAATTGAGGGAGTAACCCTCACTCAGCAGAATGTAGGAGTCACTCCTAGGACTTCATAGCTGTCACCCTCCTCCAAGGTAAATGTACACCAAACTCCTCTACTTATCCTTGACTACAGGGTTGGCTTGCTTGTTTAGTTAGATGTTTACTCAGGGGTACATTTATCCCTCGGTTTGTCCCTGTGTTTGATGAATTCTGAGTCCCAGTTCCTAGAAGGTGGTAGCACATAGGTCAGCTCTCTTTCTAAGTCTAAACATAATATCTTCACTAAAAATCCAGCCCAAGAATGAAAGATTCATCCCAGGATACTTTAAATTCTTTACACTTCACAACTTTAAAATATAAATGGAGGGAGAAAGAAATCAAATGACGTTTGAATTCATCTCCTAGTCACTCACCTGGTTGCTTCAATTTGATCTTCAACTTCAACTGTTCCCAGTCTTCTGTTGACTGCATGCATGATCTTATCTCCTTGGTAACCACTTCCTCTGCCATCAAAGCTAGCTACTATAATGTTTTCTGTGCTTGCAAGGTAAGTAGCCCAGTTGAGTCTGAAGACAGCATCTGCTTTTTGACTACAGGGGCCTGCATATCTGTGAAAAATCCCAAACTGTTAGCCTTTGTGGTTTTCCTGAATCAAGTGAGGAGTGCTTGCATTTCTATCCCCTGTGGACAGGAAGTGTACGTCTTCCTGTTCATGAGCCTGAAATCGTGCCAGCCCCCGGAGGTGTCCACAATGGGTCCTCTAAAACTTGGCAACATGACTATAATGGCTACGTGTTTCCTCCAAAGAGGCCCATCAGTTTTATCTTTGAAAACTGTTATCAAACACAGACTTCACAGGCCAACGGTTTCTAAGTCGTATATATCTTGGAGATCAAAGAAGTAAATATTCTAATAATTGGGATAGGGGAGTTGTGTTATGAGAAAACAATGAGGATGACAATAAATACAGCTTTGAATATATCTTTCTGACTGAGCTTACAAACATTCCTAGACTACAAGTTTCCTTGGTTGGAACTTCCTTAAGGACTTTGGCTGCTGTGGGATATGCGCCGCATGTGCCTCAGTGCCCAGGACAGTGCTGCTCACTAAGGCTCCACAAGGCACTGCGAATGGGCCAAAGTATGAACGAACACCATTCCTTAAAACTTCAGAGGAGAAACAAAGAGACTATATTGGAAGATGGGTATACTGTTTGGCATTCTATTCATTAACAAGTTTAACTCCCTCGTAGCTGCATTCTTCATATAGGCTATAACTTATCCATACACAGCTGTGTGTACAATCTCCATCAAGCCGTCTCATTTTCATTTGTTAATCAAGAGACACTCCCTACAGCTCATTGGATCTCATGTAAATACATCTTCTTTGCACCATCTACAGAACTCCTGGACCCAGATCTTCTCCAATAAGTCTTCCCTCCCCAGACTGTCTCTCCTATTCATCTGCTCACTCTTCCCTCCACAGGACTGGACAAGTCCTGCTTGGACCGCTTTGCTAACATTTTCCTCCCTTTCCTTAGGGATGGCAGTCAAAAGAACTTTAGTTTTAAACAAAATATTATATGACTTTAATTTTACACTAGATTTTGCAACATTCTATCTTTAAAAAGAAGAAGGCATTCATGAATTTCTTGGGCAAGTAAACATTTTTTAACATGTGAAATGCCTTGGTCCTTTCAATGGTCTTATATTTGGTAGAATAATAGCTTCCCTTAATATTAACTATGTATCAAGTTACCTAACCCTGTAAGATTAAACAACGTCATTTTTAAAAATAGAAAACAAAGATTTAGACATATATGAAAATGAAGAGGAAAGTCACTGAAAAGAATGGGCACCAAATTTACCATATTTTTTTAACTTTCCTAATGAAGGGGAGATCTAGTCCTTACTTACTGGGGAGTCCAAGAATATAAAAATATCACTTTTTTGTTTTTTAACAAACGCTTGTGTCAAAATATCACTCTTTTTTAAAGGTAAAGGATCCTTGTTGTTTAGTATTGGGGCTAAGGCCCAAAGCAAGTGAGTGCTACTGTAGTCAATATTTGACTAAATTAGGTGTAATGAGAATCAAATAGCATATCTGGAAGTTTAAAATACCTCTTTCTCTCTCTCTGAGCTTTTATGTTTGGTTTACATGGAACTGTAAACACAGCGGAACAAGGCTGTGTCTGATGCTAGTATCTGTATCCCTTCTTTTTTTTTTTTTTTGCTAGTAGCAACAGGAAAGTATCCCTGAGTTTTCAGTTTTCCTTTCTGTATAATGGGCCCAACAGAACTTACCACATCGGCTTGCTGTGTGGACAAAATAAGGCAAATTACCTGGCATGCAGCAGGCACCCAGAACTTTTATTGGTTTGTTTCATTTTGAATAAAGGAAATGAGGCAAGTTGGGACAGGAAGAGTGACATTGTGGTATTCTGTGTGAGGTCAGGGCAATTTTGGAAATATTGAAGTAAAATATGTTCCTAGTAATTATCAAAAATATTTTACAAAGATGCCATATTTAGACCTCACATGAGCTCTTATTTACTGCTCAAAGACTTGTGATTTCAGAACTTTCTCTAGGACTTGGAGAAGTTTGGATTATAATGAATACTTTCCTGTATCACATCTTCTCTTCACCAAAAAAGGGAATGGAAAATACCAGGCATATTTCAGGGACTAAAGAAAGAGAAACCTGACATTGGGATGAATTAAAGGCTACAAATGGGAGATGTTTGGGCAAATTTGGAGATAAGGAAACTGTGAAGACTGTTAATACCCATCTATTGCTTGTTAAAATGTCCATGAGGTAAGGATGAACATGGGGACTTGAGAATCTCTTTGGAATTCCCTTGGAGTTCAGGGGGGAAAAAAAAATCAAAACAAACTCCATATGCCATTATGATAGAAGAAGAGTGTCTACCTTCTCCATTAGAAAGATGGTAGAAAACACAGGTTTGGATTTGCAATTGCAGAATGGAAGAAGAAATATTAAAATTGCTCTACAATGATTCAGGAAGAAAGGATGCATTTGGCTCTGTTTTTCAGTAAGCTACACTGGGCAAAAGATGTACAATGGTTAACTTCTAAATTATTCCCTTATCTTGAATACTTACACATCTATTAGCAGAGGATATTTCTTGGATTTATCAAAATGAGGAGGCAAGATCATCTGATACCAGAATTCTAAACAAACAGAAAGGTTAATTAGTGAATTAAGAACACTTATTAGCACATGATTTCGGTTCCTTATCTTTGTCAGTGATAAATAACATGTAGAGTTTAGCAGTTTGTTAAATTAGAATAGAAAAAGAAAATGAACCGATTTGATTCAGCATGTTTTTCAGATATAAAAATATTCTCTTTCAGGTTAAAATACTAGTTTAAGGTTAAAACAATAAAGTTGTTTCTAATGGATCTATTAAATACATTGGTGCCTTGTAAAATAAAAGGGCATCTTAGAATTGCTGATGTTTCGTTTTTATGATTCTGTTCTTTGGCATCTGATCTACTCATCTAGTTTGTTTATGGCTTATGTTTTAAGTTTCCCTCCAAAATGTTTTCCTCTTCTTGAATTTCTTTGAAGATGTTTAGGATTTTTAGTTGGCCTTAACTCTATCTTAAAATTCTGATTCAATAACATTTTTGTAATTCTTATTGCCATCCCAGACCGTAAAGCTGAGTTCCCATTTTCAGCTCTGTGTTTCACAGAATGAAATCAGGTTTATGTGGGGCAAACTGTTCTGTACGATCTTGTGCAGGTCTGTTTAATTCTCTGTGCTTGATTTAACTTTAACATCAGTTTAATAAAATTTGTTCCTAAATAATAAATCGGTTACCTTTGCTCCCAAACTCAGGCTAATTAGTTAGACTAATCTTTTTTTTTAAAGGGAGCGAGAGAGAGACAAAGAGAAAGAGTTGTTTCATATTTTAATAAGATTATTTCCAGCTTCAGTAGATTTAACCTGTATGGAAAAAAATCCTTATCTCTAGAGCTGTTCTTCCTTATGTTTATCTTTCTTTTGTTTTTTGTTTATTATAATTATTTTAGTTGAGGAAAAATTAAAAGTTTAAGAGTAAAATCTTTATGTAGATAGATTTTTCTTCAATTTGTATTTTGCTGGTTATTTTATGCCTTCTGATTAAATGTGCTTATGAGAACAAAAGTTTTCATCTTTATTATATTTGAGTAGAATGTCAAACTATCAGTTGATAATGATGTTTTTAGTAAATATGCCAAAGTCAGCACTTGATCTCCCCTTTGTTTGAATCAGCACTGGTTGATTGGAAGTGTTTTACTTCCTATCTTTTGGAAGATGCACCGTCTCTCCTTTGGCGGGGGGTGTCACATCCTAATATTGAATATGTCACATCTTAATATTCAACACCTTCTGTACCAGACGGTCCAGATAGCTCTCCAGGAATGTCTCCAGAACTCTAAGCCCTTGCCAGCTAAGCCAGATTCAAGGTCCAGCAGCATTGGCGTCACATAGGAGCTTATTACAAACTTAGAATCCTGGGTCTACCCTGACTTGCTGGCTCCAAATATGCATGTTAATAAGGTCCCAGGTGATCCATAAGCACCTGCAGTTTCAGTAGCACTGCTCTAAGCTCTTCTTCAAAAGTACCCTCTACTCTCCGTGCTTTTCCTGCCATTTAAAATTGGATGACCTGAGTTTCTTCCATTATTATCCTATATTTTAAAAAGAATCTAAAATAAATCAATCTTGATGGATTCCCCCTCCCCTATGAGTTGTTAGCCCTTAATAGAAAAGACAAGCAAACAAACAAAAACGACAACAACAAAATTACAAGATTTCCTACTCAAAGAAACCCCTTGTTCTTAGTCGTCCCTGAACATAATCCATGATCAGGCCACCAGGCCAGGGCCTATCACGGGGAGGAGGTTAGGGAAAATTCAAGACTTCTGTCCTGAGACTGAAGTTTCAACATTTTATAGCCAACCATATTTTTTTATACAAGTTATTTTAAATCTGTTTGGGTTAAAAGTAAAATATATTAGGATATCATTAAGTTAAAAACACAATTAATACTTAATAGTAGAATAGAGTTACTAATGAGATGAGACTGAACTAGCAATAATGCATTTTCTCCAAATATTTTCCTCTTAGAATAATATATGTTACAAAGAATCATACTGTATTTTTTAATTAAAAGAAAAGTAAAACTAGTGGTTCTTGTGACAGAGCATTTCATGGAAAAATAACCTTACATTAGATTTACATATAAAATAAAATACATATTGTCAGATAAACTTATATTTAGTTATATTTTTACTGGTGTTTCCATGAAAAGTTATGTTCCAACAGAAATTTAACTTACTTGTTTTGTGCAAATAAATGAAGTCCAGTTTTTTTGAGGGCATCTGGACATCCTGCAGCATTTTATCCAAAGCTGAATTGTCTTCCAGGACTCTCAGTTCTAAACAAATAATTGAGACAGCAGTCATTTGTTACAACACGAAGAATATGGATTGTGCAAAGCAATAACAAACAAGTGGGCGATTCACTGATGGGACTACACGTACTTCAGGTTATAAGCCTTGTTTTCAAGTCATTGTTAAGACACTCTAAAGCCAAAGAAAATCCCATTGTGCTAAGTACATGTTGCTTCTATTCACACACGCTTTCCTGAAAAGCAAACGGGGGTGAAATAAGAGAAAGTACCTTTATCATTGCTGTTGCTATGCAGAGTATAGAGGGGCAGACCAGGGCCTGTTAACATAATTGGGGAAAAACATATTTTAGAGTTTTGGTTTTTTTTAAAGATAACATACTTTTCAAAAATAGCGTTTGTTACCATTTAACTTTGATATAATTTTGACACCACTTAGCTTTGATAGAATGAATATCACAGTGGATAAGAAGCTTACTAAGTGTTAGCTGATTTTCCTTTTCCTTAAAATGAACGCAATTTGAGTGTAAGAAGTATTACCGGAGAGGCACAGGGCTCTGGAGAATGAAACAGAAGATGCACCTCTGACCCTGCTGGGCGCCTTGTGCACATTGCTATGTCTGAGTCCAATTTCCTCATCTGTGGACTAAGCCATCCAGACCCAACGAGAGCCGCTATCCTTCCCAACTCTTAACACCGAGGTCCAGCGAGTACCACAACCTCTCTCAGGCCCCGCCCCCTTAGGGTGGAGCTCCAGAGCCAGGTTCCCCGGCCCCCAAAGGGCAGATTTCCCCCCCGCTGCTGCCCCCACTGCGGAGTCCTGGACCAGGCGGCACATCTGCACTGTGCCTGACTTGGATAAGCAATTCCTTCCTGGCATGAGAAAAGTGTTTTTTCGCACACACTCAGATCTTCACTATTTATCCCAACTGTGGTAGTTGCAGAGTGGAAGGTAATGTATAGAAAAAGCTATCTCGTGAGCTATTTAATTTTGATACATTTGGATCATGATATCAATTTTTACATTTGATCAGAACCACAGTGGAGGCATTATAGGGACCTGGGTTTGAATCCCTGGCTTTCCTGCTTTGTGACATAAGACAGCATATTTATGCTTTAATCTCCTCACATGTAAAATGAGGATAATAATATCTGCATTATAGAGTTTTCTTTTTAAAGGATCAACAAGATCATGAATACAAAACTTGAGCACAGTGCCTAGTATATATAAAACAGGTGCCCAAGAAATGGTGACTGGAAACAGCCATAGTAAAGAACTACAAAGAAAATATATTAAAGAAAATGTGCCAGTAAAAAAAAAAGGCTCAGATAAATGGTTTGAAGACCTCTTTTTGGCGATTCACAGTTCTTTTTCAGAATATCCAGAACTTTTCTCTCATTTTGAGAAGTAATCTAGCTTAGTGTTAATAGCAGAGGCCTGTGTTTGAATCCCATTGGGCCTCTTATTAGCTGCGTGACCTGTGAAATCACATTGTCTCTCCTTGTCCAGATTTCTTCACTTATATTAAAGAAAACAATAATAACAATAGCAACAGAAGATGAAGCTGTGAGCAGGTTGAGTCACAGGCACCACCTACATACATTTTTCTCATTTCAAGGGGCAAGTGCATAAAATTATAATTTGGGTTAAAAAAATGCACAACATGTACGTGTATAAGGATGAAGTGCCTCTGTCATACATAAGCTCTGGGATGTGCTTTCAGTCTAAAGCAAGCCTCTTGGTTAGAAGAGGAAGGAGAGATGGTTAGCTCACCACTTATACGTGAGTGAAGGGAATAGGACTTATATGATATCAAGAACTCAGATTCAATAGGAGAGAACTGAGCAGGGCAGAAACTGGGCACTGAAGGGAAGCCTTCAGGGATGGAGACACTGAGCCAGGAGGGTGGTAAGAAGGTTGTCCAGAGAGGGTAGGGGATGCAGGGAGCTACTCAAGAGGGATTTTGGGGGTACCCTCTGCTCTCCCTCCCTGTCTTTCGTTCATACTTACCAGAACATCTCAGCTGATAGTACTTCGCCTCTTTACTAAATGATACAGAGTAGTATTGACACCTTTCTGGATTCAGCTCACAACTAAGGCACGTCACTTTTGTGGGGTAATTAAGTTGGATTCTGTAAAACCAATGGTGGAAGTTAAGTACTTGATGAAAGGAAAAATGAAAGAAGGAATTGAATAATGCCGTATTCTAGTTTCAAAGATATCAGAATGCCAAAGCAATACTCAGAAACTTTTAAAATGTGAAAAAAATGCATGGATTAATTCATAATAACCTCAAACCTCCCGTTGTCTGGAAATATCACAAAGCATCTAATAAAGTCATGCTCTTTTGTTGACATGTGGGTTGGTTTATCGAGGAATAAAAGCATTCGATAGTAGTTCCAATTTAATATATTAGGATAGGCAAAAAATAAAATAAAAAATAAAAACACAAGAGCCAGAAATTGTTCATTAGCTAAAAGGTCAAGTCAACAACTCGATAAAACTCTTACTTATAAAGATTTCTTCCGCCTGGCATTCCTTTATGTTCATTACTAATGTAGTATCTGGGAAGAAAACAAATGAAATATATTAATTCTGTTTTTAAGCAAAAGTCAAGTACACTCCATTTAACTCAACACCAAGCACTAGCGTTCACACAAGTGCATGTGCATTAGTGCTTGCCCTTCCTTTATCATTCTTCCCTGCCCCCTCATCCTCAGAAACCATTTGTCCCCCATCATCTCTAAATAGGGGATTCTTTTTTTAACAGACTAAAATATCTGAATATGGGGATTACTCCCTTAATTAGAGTGACAAGGAAAAACTCAAAGAAAGTCTTCTTTCAGAATAATATGATTGGACAACTAGTCTAAAGTTGACACCCCGTTTATTTACACTGTTTTCCATATTTTCTGTTTCATAACACAAACCACTCGGTGGCAGGAGCCCCATCCTCCTAAGAGTGGCAGAGCCACTTCTAAACAGGACCTTCAAAAACTGCTTTGAGCAATGGCAAAACTCCTCCGTGGTGAAACCAATAAAGAATTATAAAAAGTGCCTAAGAAATGAAAAACAACACTCCCTATCCCATCAATTCATGCATGGTAGCTGACAGCCTCTGAAAAGCTCTCCATTCGCCAAAGAGTAAGGCCGAGACATGGACAAATACAATAGCCTCTCCAAGCCTTCCAAAAATCCAGTATCAGTTGAAATTTGACGAAATGCCCCTGAACACTAGTTCAGTGTTCCAAGACGTTTAAGAAAAAGAGGCTCCAGCTCTTCTAATGCAAAGCAGGTAAGAGCAAGAGGTAGAGCTGCTTGGTGGCATGGTATCAAGTCTGCTGAGCATATGTGAAAATCATTAAGGCTTCCGTATGTTAAAAAGAAAAAAGTCCTGAACACATTCCAAATAGACTACTCTTTATTTGTAGAAGATTTTTCCTTAATTCTGGGCAACGAATGGCATGATTATGACAAATATATTGATATACTACTGATTATTAGAATACTTACAGGTAATCACTGGTAAGAGCTTCTATCCCAATGACCTCCCAGGCTCCTTTTGTAATAAATGTGCAATTCTGATGGGATTTTTCAAAAAAAGAGGTTTATTAGACTCTCTCTCTGATCAAAGTTAAGGAGAGGATTAAATCATTTACATCGGGAACTGGGATAATCTCGGTTCTTTTCCCCATCCTACCTTACTACAGATACCACTGGGGTATTTGAATTAGTCTGATTATTGGTACATAGTGATCGACTTTACCAAATGATTTCCCCTTCAAGTTAGTTTCAAAAAAAGGAGATCAACCCGAAATAAATTATTTAAAAATACTCACTCTCTTATCTGTTTGGAAGTGACAAATGTGTTTGTAGCCCTCTTCGTTGCTGATGATCTTGTAGAAGCTATTCCCGTCAGAGGTAAAATGAGGCTCTGCAGGCCTAAACTAGAGAATAATAGGAAACACAAAACATGTTAAAGCACATTAGCCTCATCTCAGTACAACTTTAGCTTCAGAAAGTCCTCCCAACACCTATGCTCAAAACCCATATTTCATTTACTTGCCGATTGCAATCAGAGGGTCTCAATAGAAAATTCTCCTCCTAGAAAATGCAGACAAAAGATCTAACTCCTAGGGAATTTTTGGTGGGGAGTAAATGAAAGAATAAACATGAAGAGGCTTATACAGGACACTCAACACATAGCAGTGGTTATTGTTACCCTTAGGCATCTTCTGTCTATGGAGGATAATGCTATGGTGTCTTGATATGTGTGAGAAAATTAGCATTAGCCTTTCAGTTCTAAGAAGTCAATTTCCTCGATGTCACAATGTGCTTTCTTGAAACAGACTAATATTATTTTTGACTGTTTCTAGTTGGAGGTGGTTTGTAATTTGAGGGATTTCCCCCTCCCCCCTGTTTCTTATACATAATTTTTTTGAAAGTCAGACTTAGAAACTCTTTAATCATTTCTGGACTAGATACCATAAGGAATGTCTGTCGTATATTTCATACGGAAACATTCATATAGTTATCATCTCTATTATAAGCCTTTCCATTTTGCTAAATAGGATCAACAATTTACCCAAAAAAAATAGTTGTATGGAAATATAGAACAAAATTTCCATTTTTTACAGTTCGATAAAAGATAGTTCTCAGAACATAATGCCGTTTAAGCAGAAGAGGATCTATCCCAGCCTGAAAGGAATATATCTCTTTACGACTTCAATTTCCTTACTACATTTGAGAGCAGGTAGGAGATGGTCTTTTAAAACTGTTGGTTCACTTCACTCTCGCTGTTTCCTCGCTCATCAGCTCCCATTTTGGGAAGAAAAATGCTTCCCTCTTCTATTTAGTGATTCAAAACGAATGCATTTATGGAGCAAGCCGAGGCGTGCAGTACACTTGGTGTTCTCATTACAGAGCTCGGAAACACATTCCCCTCTCTAGACCTGTGTTCACAGCCTTATCTTTTTAATACATTTCCCTGTTTCCCCTGGATGGAGTTGTGCCTAGTAGAAATGTGTGAAAAGTGGCATCTGTCTGGTTAAATACAGAGAGGAAAAAACATATTTTTTTCAAAGAGTCGTGAGGAAGTGTAGCATGTCTCTTGCCATGGAGGAAACCACTTTTCATGTTGGCAAACCTCTCCCCTCTGCCCAATCAATGCCTGAACAAAAAGGACGTGTGAATGCTAGGGGGCTCCGAGCCCAGCTGGAAGGGGTCGCATTTCTGGACCAGGGGGCTGCACCTCTGTGTTCTGGGAGACGAGAAATCCTTACGTTTTTTATGTCATTTTGTTTCTCTCTTAAAGGGGCTTAATAGAAGTGGTCATACAAATTAGGGGCGATTCATTCTTCCTCTTTCACACGAGGTGCCATGATGGCTGCAGTGCCCTCATCGGTTTGCTTCACTCCACAGGCTTGTAGCAACGTGGCTGGTATAAGTCTGCACAAGGTGTAGCGTGAGGCATGGGAAGTCACGGAGGGTCACGTGCTTCCTTGGAGAAAGTTCTGCATCCAGGGTATAGTAAAGTGTGAACCCACGTGTGTAGGATTCCTCCAGAGAGAGGTGCATAGCGGGTGTGGTGTGAGTGCCACTGCGTCCCTGCCGGGGGAAGTCCTGTCCCCTGCGTTTGTGCAGAGGCTGAGGGCGGAAACCATGTTTTCTGCCGCTGAAGCGCCTAACTTCGAACGTGAGGTCAACGAAGACAACTGGTATCTTGGCTGCCTTTCAGCAACCGTTGCTTTTTAACTTTCCAGGAGCTAGAATTTGCCTAGAATGTGTCTTTTGTTTTATCTGCTCTTCTCTTGAATTTTCACTTGTCCTTTTACTTTTTCCAACCAAGCATGTTGTATATTCTCTACAAAAAGACATCTCTACAGGGGACATTAAAATATTAAGTGAAAAAAGGTCAACTGCTGTCTCTATTAATAGCAAATAACATAGAGGCCTCGTTTGGTATATCTGCATATTAAATAGCTCTGAGTATCTGATCCATGCGACAGAGAATCCCGTAACTCTTACAACTTACTCTTCCAACCCAGCCAGTGGTACTTATTTCAGTGTGCTGCTGTTCCTAGGGAGGGAAAAATACAGAGAGAAGTGAGATATGAATTCTACTCTTTAGCTGCAATTTGCGGCAATATAAGCAAGATTGTACTTGTAATAAAATAAAGGAAAACTATCTCCATTCACATATTTGTATGTATGATAGTACCTTTTACATAGCTACATTAGAACATTTACCTCTCTTGCCTAGAGCTCTGTCCTGGATGTGTAACTCATAAGCCGTCCTGCAGGCTCCTCCACATTTTCAATTCAGCAAGTACAGAAGTATCTCTCCCTTATCCCCACCAGCTTGTTCTTACTCCTTCGTTCTTCTCTGGGTTAGTGGCACCATTCACCCAAGCCAGAGACCTGGGAATCACTCCAGACCCCTGCTCTTCTCACACTAACCCCCTCAGCCCCTGTCTTCTAGTCCTTTGACTTCTCTTGTTCTTCTCCACCATTATTGCCTTAGTTTGTGTCCTGTCGGGTTTCCCAGGTCCATGGCCCTGACCTCCTGGTTGGAGACGCTGCTGCTCTGCTCTCCTTCCAGTCTGCCCTCCACCCTGCTCAACCCACAGCTGACCTCATCAGGCAACAGATAGTTCTAGCTCATTATAATTCTTTCCTACTTAAAACCTTGAAATAGCTCTGAGTGTCTTACAAGGTAAGGTCAAACTCCTCAGAATGGTGCCTGAGCCTTAGCATATATCTCAAACCTCAGTTCTCATCATCGTGCCTCCGCCTCAACCCCTAGTCCTGTGTACCCCCAGACCCTGCAGGCTCCAAGCTCTTCACCCCAGATGCCTTTGCACAGCCTCTGCTCATAGGGTCCACTTGCCTTCATGCTGCCCCGAATATGACAACTTACCCCAGGCTGCTCTAGTCTCCTCCATGTCATCTCCCATCCCCTTCTGCCTCCCCCGAGGCAGGTTGATTATCTTCTTTTGCCCTACATTTCCTTTGTACCTTGCTTATACACTTTTAGAGCACATTATGGTGCTATTGAGATGATTTAATTGGCAGGAAGCAAAGAGCTTGGTGTTTTACTTTGGATTCTGGCTGTCACTGTGAGCTAAGCAAGCTCCTTGACCTTACTGAGCCTATCTCCACAGTGTCTGGCTACTGTGAGTGTTCAAGAAATGGTAACTATTATTATTGATTTTCGTAACAGTCTTCCCTACCAGAAAATAAACATTTTAGGGACAGGCATGCTGCCTAATTTTTTTTTTTCCCTCCAGAGCTATGCACAGAACTTGGAACAAAATAGGTATTCGATGATTGTTATATAAGTAATGAATGAGTGCATCAAGATACAGGGGCAGGCGGTGGAGGGAAGGATTTCTGAGGCAAGAATCTGCCGTGTGCCCAACCAGGGTGGAGCAGGGAGAAGAGGTGTAGAGCCCACTATCAGAGAAGGGCTTGTAGAGCTGTCCTTGACATATGCCAGCAAGCCTCCCCCAGGCTCTACCCCTCCTGAGGCTGTTGGTCCCAATGGGGCTTTAATTTTGATCCACGACCTATACCTTGAGGTCTCTGGGCTGGAAACGCCCCCAGCACTTCAAGGTTGGATTAACACTTGCTTTTGCCTTAATGTTGCCACCCTCTCAGCCTGGAAGTTATCTATTTACTTTCTAAAGCTGTTTACTGCTGAAAGATAGTCACAGCGTGGTAATAGATTTGTGGCCTCTAGATATTTGTTTTGCTTCACGTATACTCGCCGAGTCACTCCCCATTTCCTGAAACACGCTTCCTTGACCTTGCGGCCCCTGGCTTTCTCGGACTTTGTGAATTTTGACATCAAATTCTATTTTCTGGCTTTCCAATCACCACCACCCTTTTCCCAAGTGATAGTCTCCATAACTAAAACAGTATGACTAGTGAGAGCAGATGAACTAGACGTACCACCGGGTAATATCAAATTATCTAAAAGTCACTCAAGATTTACTCACTGCCTCAGGGTCAGACACAGAGAAAGAATAGAAATTCAAGCTGTATTTCCCGATTACACTCTCCCTGTTTTCCTACAGCCCTCAGATCACATGTAGCTTTGGAAGCAGAACATCCCGATTCAACTTTACCACTGAGGAAATCCATCTTCCAGTGATCTCATCGTAGTCACAGATATCCATGACTGAATAGTTCTGAATCCTCCGGATCCACTGCAAAGAAATCCTTTCTTCGGTTACCCATGTCACATCACACAAGTAGTAATCCCTGAAAGAAGGGAGGGAAGGAAGGATGGAGGGATGGAGGGAGGGGAGGCAAGGAGGGAAGGGAGGGAGGGGAGAAGGAGAATAACTATTTCCAGACCTTGGTACAAATAGACATTCTGCTCAATGAAATCAATCTTAATAGGAATACAATTTTAAACAGTTGTTGAAGCCATTTAACACCGTAGTATTTTACCCTTTCTTAAAGCTTAAAGTGTAATTTAATTTTGAATGGAAATGCAAATATATCTGACAGGAAGAACAACAGCTAACATCCCACAGAGGTGTAACATACATGCCTCACAACATGGCTCAGGACTTTGCAAGTCCACAACTGGCCTTTGGTGGTGCCAGTGTGTCAAGGGTGATATGTTCCCATCTGTTTTCTGCTGTCTGGAGGGACCATGACAGGGAACCCAGGGACACTGGTTGAGATTTTATTCTTTTCTGGTAATTTGATACGTTTCTCTAAAACATTTTTCCTACTAGGGAGAAACTACAGTTGACCCTTTTCTCAACTTCATTTTCAAAGGGGAAAAAATGGACTCACATCTCTGCAAAGTTTGAAAACCAAATAATTGTATCCTACAAATCTTTTCTCAAGTGTCAAAATATAAATCGTGTGAAGAAATTAAGGAAACTTCTGGTATTTTAACATAAATTTATATAAATAGAGATATCTCGAGCAGTACAGCCTCCTCCAACAAAAACCTTTAACAGTGTTTGGAACTACATTTTGAGAGATAAGTGAGATGCATGGAATTCCTAATTTACCTTTCTGCTAGCCTCCTTAAATATTTGCTCTGGATAATTTATTTTATTTTATTTGATCCCCACACCCTAGTGCGATTTTTGTATGACTCTTCTTAAATCATTCCTGTCCAGTGTGTGATCAAAACCTTGCTCCCTTTGGTCAGAAGAATTCCAAAGGAAATTTTTCATTCCACCCCTTCCCATCTGACCCTATCCGTTCACCCTAACATGCTCCTTTGCTCTTTGATTCATGGGCTGTGCCCACCCCTCCTCTTGTCAAGGCTCTCCTTCTTGACTGCAAACTCTCTGAGGCTGGGCCACAGCTGTCTGGTTCACAGGGTATCTCCAGGGCCTAGCAGACTACCTGGCACAAAGCAGGTGCTCACGAAAATTCTGTGGAATGTAGCACTGAACAGAAGGGGAAGTCCTGTCCCATCCTCGGGACCTAAGCAGCTCTGTCCTTCCTCAGAATTCACAGATCCCTTCCTGTCCCCACTCCCTTCACAGACACTAAATCAAACAACAAATATTTTTTGAGCGCTTCGGATGGATCAGGTGCTGGATAAAGCACTTTAAGCCCCTCACCACTTCACTATCTCTCTTTGCGGGGCAGGACAGTTACTGTGTTAATACGCCCAGGGGTACCCGGGCCTCCAGGCTGTCTCCGCTACAGGTGGCAGGCACTGAAAGAAGACCAAAACCCCTCACGGAGCAGCAAAGCACCACCTTCACACAAACAGGGACTTCTCTCCATTTCAGTCCTTTCTCTTGCTTATTAAGAACTGTACACTGTCCAGTCTGCACGACTGGTGTCCCCTGAACACCCTATAAGGTTTTCCACATGCCTCCCTTTGTCAACCTGCCCTTCGGTCTGAAATGACTGTCATGCTTTAACTTCTTCAGGATTTACTCAAATATCCCCCGCCCGTGGGGCTTTCTTGAAGACCCCCTCCTTCTACACCGCTATCACGGGTCCCATGGTGCTTATCACGAACCGCCAGGCTGCGGAGTCTGAGAGGGTGAATGCTGCTTCACCGGCCCAGGAGCAAGGGCGCCTCATCTAGTCTAACTGCCCGATACTGAGCCCAAGGCAGAGGCGTTAAGTGAGAAAACGGAAAGGCAAACCAGTCATCCCCGGGGGTAGGGGATAAATACTTGCAAAGGGAATGGAAGAATGAAACGCAAGATAGAAAACAAAAGGTTTTGAAATGAACTCTCTAGATCTGGGGTCAGAACGATTTTTCAGAAGAGGGCCAGCCAGTAAATAGTTCCAGCTTTGCGGGCTACATGCTCTCTGTCGCAGCTACTCGACTCTGCCTTGGCAGCACCAAAGCAGCCAGAGACAGTGCGTGACGTATGAGTGTGACTGCGTGCCAACGAGATGCTGACATTTGAAGTTCATGTAAATTTCACCTGTCATGCAGTATTATTCTTCTGATGATTTTTCTTCCCAACCATTCACAGAGGTCAAAACCGTTCTTACCTGGGGGACCATGTAAAAATGGGTGGGGGCAGGATTTGGCCGGCAGGCCCAGGGGTGCTAAGCCCTGTTCTATACCAGTAGTTCTTATTGTTTTATGTACCTGTCTCTAGGGGGAAAAAAGGTAGCATGGAGTCTGCGGCCAGCGTCGGCAGGATGCCCTCTTCCCTGGGTGGTTCATTGAATTAATCACTCCACCGTATGCAGTTGCTCTTAGTAGTGGTTTTCTTTCCAGGTAGTAATAGGTACCTTATTTTAAGTCTCTTTAATATACCCAAAGAAACATTTACACAAATTAGGGGAATTAATATCACACAACAGGCCTTTATTACATGCCTACTCTTTGCAAGACAGCGGCCACGTTACAAAGGGATACCCTGTGTCATATGACTCTCAAGCACAAGTCTCTCCCAGTGCATTCAAATATGATTTGCTTTATAAAATTCAGTTATTCTGTCTGTGTGCACTCTCGAGGAATAAATAGATTTCATAGAGTAAGGAGCTTTATCCTGAAAAGAATTAAGAGGGTGAAGCTAACCAGCCATGCTTACCAGAGGGATGGGTGGAGGTTCTACAGAGGGAATGACGGGGAGAAGGAAATCTGAAGCCAACTGCTTATTTTGAATCCTGACTCCAACCCTGTCCAGTGTGTGACCTTGAACGAGTCACCTAACCTCTCTACACTTCTGTTTACTTGTCTGCAAAACACGAACTCCAACATTCTTCCCGCATAAGGTGATCATGAGCTTTATGTCAGCACTTAGATGAGTTCCTGGCCCAGAGTAGACTCCACATGGTGTGAACTCTCCTTATGTAGAGAAATTACCTCATTGCTTTAGTATTAAAATCAATCGTATTCCTCTTGGACTAATCCTGTTCCAGAAGTTAGAAGAGCTTGTTGAATCACTGTGTCTAACCTGGGAAAGGCAGTCAGTGGCTCAAGGGAAGGCCAGGCTGCCTCGTACGGTCCCTGGTTCCTCTTCCACCCCTCCCCCAACCACTCTAACCAGTCTATTCAGTATATGCCTCTCTGTTTTTACAGAATAAAATTGGCATGTTGTGGAAAGTATACTTGATGATCCTGCTTGTTGGATTTTTCCGGTCTTAAGTGGGGACTTAAAACTTCCAGTAAAAACTACAATTAAGCCCTTGGTTTCCTTATATCTTTTTCATGACTCACTGACATCCTGGCCTGGTGTGATCGCAGCTCCAGGCTGGGTTATGCACTCTCATTCTGTCTCCCCTCAACTCCAAATCCTAAAGAGAAACTGATTGAAGAGAAGCGTGTTTATATAAGAATTCAAAATTTAGAGCCCGCTCCACTGGTGAACCGCCTTTATGGAGCCCTCACAGGGTACAGAGTACACCTTGGGCTGTGGAGAGTGACAAAGGTAGTGGAGGATACAGGTTCATGAACCTTTGACCTAGAAATGGGCAGGGAAGATGCCAGATGCATGTGAGTTTCCTGGCAGACTTCCCAAATTCCATCGCTCAATGTTTTCAAATGGGGAAAAGTTACTTTTATATGGCTGATTGCTGAACCTAAAGCATAACTTTTGGCTTTTAGTAGATAAAGTTATTTAGTACCAGGAGACCCACTAATCATGTTAAAGGGTTTTCTTCCCACCTCACCTGCCCCTTTCCACTAGGCCACTTGAGAAAAGAAGAAGGCTATTTGGAGTCCACTTTCCTAAAACAACCCTTGGAAAACGTGTGCATGTGTGGGGAGAGCCTCATCTTCCTGTAGGATTTCAGCTGCTGGATGCTCTGTGATGAAAGGATGAGGCCTAAGGAGAAAATTAGTGATGGGTGCACGGGCAGAGGAGGGCCTGGCTCCAGGAGCGAGTGAATTACTACGAGACAGAGCAGAAGGTGCTGGGCAGCTGAAGAGGCATAACTTGCCCGCATTAACTTGGCCCTGCTGATCTCTGCATGAGGCTAGAAAACGAAGCACCACCGTGTACGAGAACATTTTTCTCCAGGGGGGCCCTCAGGCCTGGTTTTAGCAAAGCTGCAGCTGTACTGGTACTAACAGAGATCAGAGCTGGGTTTGCAGTTTCTTACACAGCACATTCCTGTAGCATTTCCAGAAATGCTTCTTTGGTGAAATACGTTCCCCAGAAAATACCCACAGTGAGTAAGGCAACCCTCACCATGAGTGTGGCGTAAAGAACTGCAAAGAACAAAGACTTAAGGATTCATTCATATAGGGTGAAAAATAAGTCCTTAAACTGCTTAAGTTTCCTGAGCTCCGAAATTCACAACTGTGCCTTGGAAAGTGATTTCTAAGTGGGAAAGATGCCATCTCTTCATCTGTGAAATGGCCGTGAAAATGACACCATAGGCAGCATGTGGGTAATAAATGAGACAACGTGAGCAGAGCACCCGGCACAGTCCCCAACATAGGAAGCACCCAATACAATTTAATTCGACTATTCTATTACTCTGGCCCAGCAAGTGTGGGCCTCTGTCCTATTCCCAAGCTCCCATGTTAAGTTGCTGTGTGATCTTAAGCAAATGGGTCTACTTCTCTGAGCCTCAGATCTCTCATCTGTGTCTCACAGAGGTGTTCTCAGTGTGTTCTGGAACCCCGGTAGTTTCTGTCGATTCTGAGACTCCTGGGGGAAGGAGAAGGCACAGGGGCTGGGCCTAGAACCTGAGCAGCCACCTGCCGTTTGCTTGCTGGCACCCCACCTCTGTTGTATCTCACTCGCACAAAGGTTTCTCGCTCCTTAAAAACATTTGTAAGGTCCAAAGCCCCTTCCAGATCTAAAATCTTTCAGCGTGGGAGCTCACGGCTCATCCTCCCTTCGGACAGATGTTGGGCGTATACCAAGAGGGCACGCAGGGCTTGCTTCTCTTTCCTGGGCAGCCCCGAGCTTGTGCACGCTTGGTGATCCTTCCACTGCAGCCCTCCCCCCTGCCCCACACTGAGCCCTGTCCAATTCACTCATTCTCCAGGATGCTTTATTTGATCCCCGGGGTCACGGAAAACCCATCTCCCCCTCCTCAGAATGCCTCCAGCCTTTTGTTTATGCCTCTGTCATAGGCGCTTTGGGAGTCATTTATTGACATGTTTTATATCCCCCACCCCATCATAAGTGCCAGAAGGGAGACTCAGCCCTACAGGACATCTATGAGTGTCAGTAGCGGGTGCTTAATCAATGTTGATGGAAGAGATGGCTGGACGGGACCAAAGAGCAGATTTTAGAACCTAAAGAAATACTTTTTAGTTGACTGATAATTAATTTTCCCTAGGAATAAACAGGTTAATATAGATATTTCTAAGAAAGTAAATGAATTAATAACCACAGAGCAAAGCCTCCAGCATGCCTGATGTAGTAAATGCAACCCTGAGAAGGAAAATGCTTCCATATGGCTCTGATGATAACTTCAGGCATCTGAGGGCACCAGCTGAATTCACACAGAGGGAGAGAGAGGCACCTCGAAGAAGAGTGCTTACGAGCTCCTCCTTTCAAGTCAGAAAGATTTGAATACAGCCCCCCACTGGGTCATTTTCTTACCCTCTAGGCCTCATTTTCTTATCTGTAAAAGAGCCATATAATAATAGTTGCTGGAAAGAGTTACTTAAAGACTAATAAGATAAAGCATGTGATGCCCTGGGTCTGGCACGCAGAGAGTGCTCAATAGAGGCTAGTCATTATTTAGAAGCAATGATAAAACCCACATAAGTAATGGAGAAGAAGAGAGAGCAACCTGATAGCCAGAAGTTTCATGTAGTTTGGTGTTTACAGGAAGATAAAGGAGGGGCTGAGAGTTTCAAACCACCAAGGATCATGCAAGCAAATGACGTCTGGAGGCACATCGGTGTCGCAGGGGTGCCTAAAATTAATCCACGGTTTCCCTGAATTACTCTAGGTTTTACCAGGCCCCGCAAAGCCCTGTGTGATCTGGCCTTCCTCCCATCACTCTCTTCTCCACTCAGATGCTCCAGACTCTGTGGCCTCCTTGCAGGGCCTCCACTGCACCAAGCACGCTCCCTCTGCAGGGGCTTTGCACCCGCTCTTCCTCTGCCCGGATACTGCTCCCCCAGCTCTCCATGTGGCTAGATCTTCCCCTCTTCCTTCACATCACTGCTCACAGGCCTCTTATTAGAGAGACCTTCCCTGGCCTCCCCCCAACCATCAGCATCACGGCTGCCCTCCTTTGATCGTCTTCACAACATTTCACGTAACTTTATTTGTTTACCTGGTGGTTGTCTGCCTCCCCTACTTGAGTGGAGGCTCCATGACACCAGAGACTCTGGCTGCTCTATTCATTCTGCAACCTCACCCCTGGAACCATGCCTGGCATGAAGGCATGAAGTTGGAACTCAGCAAAGAGTGTGTATGGTCAGGCCCCCCAAGATGGCTGTTCTCTTGCTCTCTGTACATCCCCTGCTCCCCTGAGTAACCTTCCTACATACTTGCCCCAGGCTCCAGCCAGTGACTATTCTTAACACAGGGGAGGTGAGGGGCGTGCCTCTCCGCTGATTTCCTTGGTAAATAATGAGCCAACCTGATGTAATCCTCCCTGTAACTGGCAATCTCCTCTTCCCCCTGGGAGCGAAGCCTGCTGCCTTGTCCTGCCCACTGTCCACAGAAGCACGCCTGTGCAGTGTCGCTCCAGGACCTTGCTTCAGATGTGTAAGCTCCCGCACCCATTAAACCACTGATGTCTTTGTTGCTGACTCTGGGTTCTTTCTTTGGTCTTAAAGCTGGGCAAGTGCAGCCCAACAGAGTGGTTGAATAGAAGAATGAATGACGGGCAGGGCCAGGTGACACCATGAGATACTGCCATTGATTCTGCCATTCATTTTGAAAGTGTTCTCCCTGGGAGCTGTGGAACTGTTTACAACACAAGCATTTGGGTCAAGAGTCTTACCCTATTAACACAGAAGCAGGAGGAATGATTTGTTGGGAAGTTGCATTGATGTCTGGGCTGAGAGTGTTGGTATTTACAACAAAGAAATTTACAGTTGGGTTCACAGCTCCTGCCTAGGAAAAAAACAATCACAGAATTGGTATTGACAAAAGATATATACATAACAACATCACACAAGTTTAGAGCTGTACAAAAATGTCTGCATTATGGCCATAAAATTATAAACAACCAGACACTTTCAAACAATTTAATACAGATAAAATGAACATAAGGGAGAGTCATGAAATGCAACCTTCTCATGTTCAGGCAGAAATATATATATGACTCCCGTTTAAGTAATGAATGCTCATAATTTATGCACTTTGAGCAAAAAAGGATAAACTTGTTAAAATCAATTCTTTTAATTTGTAAATATACCCTGACTCCCGAAGACAAGAAGACTGATGGCTGACCACTAGGAAGAATACCCTGGGTTCAGCCAAAGACACAATCCCCCAGGAAAATTAGTTTACCTGAGCCGAGAGCCAAAATGCTAATTAGGAAGCCATCACTTCCACTCCAAATTCAGGTTCAGTACTTTGGAGTTTTACAATCAATATTATGACAGAAATCTATAAAATCGTTTTACATATACACATAGATTTTCAATTGACAAATTAGTTAGAAATAATATGATATTTTTAGTGAGAACACTCTATGGTATTTCTTTGCCAGTTGCACTCTTCAAAAAATAACATTCCACTGAAAATACATCTCCATATTTAGTCTCTGATTTTTTTTCTTTTAACTTCCTCTGTCTCCCTAAAATGGCAGCTCTTCATAAAGCAAATTGAGGGAGTCGGTAAAAATAAAAATCCCTTCTCCCAAATTGCTTACAGCAAAAACACTTTGCTATTAGATTTTCCTATAGATGATACTGTGGCCATTGTTATTATGACACTAGTGAAGTGAAGAATCCTGGTTCCTTCCTAAACCTCCCTCTTCCTTGGCTTATACTGCTTAATAAGGCTCTTCAGTTTTCATAAACATGCATCCCGGAGGGGGAAACAGTCTTGAAAACCAAGACATGACACTATTATTCCAAATGTAGGACGGGTGAAATTTACATTAGTGCCAAATCTATAATAGAACTACTAAAACTCGTCATGTATCAGTTAGTAATACAACCTGGTATATAACCCCGCTCTTCAACTTTATCTAGGGCACAATCCAACTTCTACAAATGAGATGAGCTTGTGATTCAATCACAGCCTCTCTTTTCCTCCTTTCAAACATTTTCATTCCCCCTACTTCTTTCAAAAGCATTTTCCCCATCTTTTTCGGCTTGTCATTCTTCAAAGTTTTTGGAGAAATTACAAAACCTTAAATCACACTCTTTCCTGGGATAATAAAAATACTTTAAAATTGCCACATGCTGTTGACTTCAGCAAGAGTAATCACACAAGCTGTTGAAGAGAGACTGACAATATTTTCATTAGCAGGAAAGGATTAAATGAAACCATTCTCTTCCCATCAAATCACGGAACCACTATGTAAACGGAGCACAGACCTTTGGATAAGGAATATGCATGGTCTTTGGGTACTGCAGTGACTCATCAGAGTAGAAGGAGTATTCAATCAGTGGGACTTCTGTGTCGTTAAATTGGGCATATGCTAAAAAAGTGCCGTTTGGAGACCACCACAGAGCGGAGTAAGTACTAAAGACTTCCTCTGAAAAAAGACAGAAATTGTTCTGTTACAAGAAGTAGCTGATAAATTGGCTTTGGCATTCAAAATATTGTTCTCATTAGCTTTAGTAATTACAGTAGAGTTCAACTAATGAACCACTTTGCATTTGCTGGGCTTCCAAAATCAGAGTAATACAAACGAATAAAAATAAAATCCTCAAGGATAGAGCTGGATTGTAAAAATAAGTAACCCGTTGGACCATTTTTGAATATCTTAGCACACAATATTTAATATAAACTCTACATTTTTTTCCTTATCTTATAATCCTCTAAATTTATGCCACAAAACATACTAAAAGTAAATTTCACACAAGGGGCTGATTCTCCTTTCTAATTTTTCAAACAGTCAACATGCCAGCATACGTTCCCCAAGTGGGCTCAGTTTGTACTGAGCCCGCAGGGTACTGGTGGGTGGTGTGTGGCTCCAGGCTATCAAACCAATATGGTGCCCAGAGTTTACTACTCTTGGCACAAAAGCCTTGAGAATGATGGATTTCGAATGGAAGGGAGCTCCATGAGACCCCTACCAAGAAACATCTCCCTTGCCTAGTCTAGAAACTGAAGACTCCCTTGGATTAACACCCTCCTCTGGTCTATCAGCTGATGGGTGAGGGAAGACAGTAAGATGGAAGCAAAATGAAAGGAAAGGTTTTTCTTTCTTGAACAATGTTGCACTTGTTCTCAATTTCTGGCAAAGGTAGCTCCTTCCTATGTTTATTATGGAGTCTATTCATGGGACTTCCAATCTCTGCCTCTTAAAACGCCAAAACCTCTATCACCAACTGGGAATAGAGGATTCAAGTAGACTTGATGGAGCCTCCTAATCCTTTACACAGAGTTAATCCACACATTTCATGTTGTGCAGCAAGAGGAAAGGTAAAAGCAAAAGCATAAAAACGTGAATATTAGAGTTAGGCGATCATTTATCCCAATCACTTTTCTGATTCTTATGGCTTCTTGACGAGTTTCTTCCAAATGCTTGCTTTCAGTTATGACTATGGTAATGGTAGTAGGAGTAACAGTAATAAAAATAACAACAACAATAAAATATAATAGTTATAATGATGAGCAGCTGCCATTTAATGCCTGCTGACCATACACTACTACGTAACTGACATCTATTATCTCGGTTAATCCTCACAGTAACTCCTTGTGCGGATGAGCAAAGGGGCAGGCAGGCTTAAAGAGAGTAAGTAGTTTACTCAGGAGCACATGACCAATAGTTGCTAAAATCAAGAATGAATCCAGATTTGTCTGGTTGGAGTCCCTCTTCTACTGTTCCTTCCTGCCTATTTCAGCACTTCTAGTAACAGAAAACCTTCTACTTGATCAGGCAGCCTGCTCCCCCTTTGACTGCTTTATACGTATATCACTGAGTTACATTTATGCAGCAATTTAGAATTTACAAAACACTTATCTAATTGAACCCTGGGTGAGTCTATTCATAGGCTATTTTACAGAGAGGACAACTAAGGTTTAGAGAGGTAGAGTGAATTAACAGAGACAATAAGGCAGGCCTTGTGATTCTAAGCCAAGGGGGCTTCTTACTAAGAACTTCTTCATATACTGAGTTCATGTCTCATTCCTTATAGCTTCTACCCATTGGTTCTAATCTAAGATCAAGATGCAATTACATAAAATGAATAGAATGACAGCAAGGTAATGCTTTGTAAAATCACTTTTAAGTACAGGTGGCAGGTAGGAATCTATGTTTTGGATTAGTAGTTATTTAGAATACTGAACACTTTATCTATCTATTTACTTATTTATTTTTCTTTTCCATTATGGTTTATCACAGGAGATTGAATATAATTCCCTGTGCTATACAGTAAGACCTTGTTGTTTATCCATTCTATTTATAATAGTTTGTATCTGCTAGCCCCAAACTCCCAATCCATCCCTCCCCCACCCCCCAACCTTGGTGACCACAAGTCTGTTCTCTATGTCTGTGAGTCTGTTTATGTTTCATAGCTAAGTTCATTTGTGTCATATTTTAGATTTCACATATAAGTGATAGCATATGGTATTTGTCTTTCTCTTTCTGCCTTATTGGAATACTGACCACATTTTTCCATATCAATGATGTGTCAAAACCATTATTATAAAACTACACTAGTCAAACTCAAAGTCCTAAGAATGAAGGGATCATGGGTAAGGAGAAAGAAGAACAAAGAAAGAAGGAAAAGATATCCAGCCCTTCCTGAAGTTGGCTATGAACACCATGGGTGTCTATGGCACTCCCACCACCATCCTGTGATAACTCCCATCCTGCCACTCACTCTGAAATCCCTTAGGTACCCCTGGGACCTAGTTTCCTCCCTGTAATAGGATACTTAATTCACTCCATGACAGTTTTTGTTGGCTTCTTTGTCTCTCTCTGGGCTGAACTCCCTGAGAGCAACAGTTGGGTAGCATTTGTCTCTGTGTCCCCAGCACCTGGCACAGCACCTTGTAGGTGGTTGGCACTCAATGTGAATTGCACTGAATTAATCACAACCCCCACCCCCACCCCTGCCACTGTCAACACTACTGCCTCAGGGGGGTAAGGAATGCTCCATCTCCCTAAATTATTTCCTTCTCTATCCCCTCTCATCTCACCAAAATTCGCATTTTCAGCTCTGGGTTAGGTAAACTACATTCATACTCAAAAGTGACTGTAACGTAATTAACTTCATCCTAGGAGATAAAGTATTATCCTTTTTTTTTGGAAAAAGAAAACACTTATTAACCAAAGTAAAATAATAATCAATTAGAAAATCATAAAATAAAGTGAAAACAGAAAACTTGAGAGAGAAAGCTATTTGGGGACCCAGGGTGGGATGGCGGCCCAAGTCCCAGAATATAGGCTCCTCTGTGAGTGTCCCTCCTCAGTGTGGCACGTGGCCCTGTTTAGACCTTGCAGCTTTGTTTGTCCATTTACTTATGAACCTACAGATTCTCAAAATGTACTCTCTTTTGATCCCAACAGGTCTTCATGGCTACAGTGGAGAGGGTGGCTCCAATAGGAAGGTGACCCGATATATGGAGAAGCAGGTGTGCCCTTTTCTAAGTATGGAGCATTTGTAAATGTACAAAACCAATTGTAGGAATTTCCCTGTAGGGACTAAAGTCCTGTTTTTAGAGACAGGCCCACATTGGAACTGTGAAGCCATTCTTCTGCTTGTGAATGGCTTAGTCATGAACAGGCAAAATGAGATCCCTCCAGCTATTATCTACCTTAGAAAGAACCTTAGTGTCGGAGTGTTTTTATCTTAGAGCTGCCCAGCTGTTCCAAGGAAGGGTCAGTCACAGCTTTGGGAAGAGGCTTTATCTAGCTCACGTTGGGGATCCTGGAGGTTGTGTTGTGCTGTCCAACAAGTGTTAAAGACGTTTTTCAATATCTAAGTGACAAGTGATAGTAAATTGCATTGTAAGTTTTCATCAAACACTTGTTTCTGGGCCATGGGAATTTATCTTTCTTTTAAAGTGTTTCCTGTTCTTATAATGTTATCCACTTAACTGAACTCGATTTGAACTAGTAAGAACCGAAATTGTCATGAAGAAAAACCTTTTTTTTATAAGTATGAAGAAGAAATAACAGGATAAAATAAGGATGAGTCTTTAATAAGCATGAGACAATCTTATGAAGGGTTTGGAATAGCCTCAAAATGCTTTTTACCTTGGCAACTATAGACATGAATAATGTTTTCCTAATATTTTCTAAAACTCTTTATCCTTAAAGAGAGAATCATTCTTTTTAACTTTTTCAGTTCTGTTTTTTGAACCAATTTTTTCCTAAGTCTTTCTAATTATTTTTTTCTTCTTTAGAAACAGGAAATGATAATTTGTTCAAGTTCCAATGAACACAAATCCTCTATAAAAAAAAGGCATTTTCTTACCCTTGACTCCCCAATCTCCAGACAATAGTTTGTCATCTTTTGGAATGTTCTGGGAGTATTTCGTTTTCTTTAGTAACTTCTGGGTTAGGTAGGCCCGGTTCAAGAAACATCTGATATCAATCTGGAGGCTTTTATGCCCCAGTAAAGCAGAAAAGCTACCTACACAGAAAGGCCCTTTTGTAGCAGTAGAGCAAAGACAATAGGAGCATTGAAGAGACAGTGAGGATGTAGCATCAGTAGCCACTGTGAAGAGATTCTTGGTCTATGAGATACCTAGTGTTATGAGTGCTAAAGGAGATTTGATGACATTTTTAAAATGCAACTTATTTTGAATGCCATTGAATTTCCCCCCATTTTAACTGTTTTTGAAAACGTACAGATTTTCTGATTTGAAAAAGCTTTAATGTCTCTACCTTCATAAACCCAGTCAGTTATTCCATTATAGATTACATCTTCTTTCCCAGTCCATGTGACCCTCTGACTTGGCAAATTTGGTTCATTTTTGACATAAATATCATTTTTCCAAACGTACGCCTAGAAAGATTGGAAAAAAATATTGATACATAATACATTTTATTCTGGATTTTAAAAAACTTACCAATTATTTTATCCTCAAAAAATATTGGTATGCAAGTGTAATGATTACCTAAGCTTATTCCATTGATCAGGAGGAAGAGTCGTTTACTCCCTCCTCTCACATTCTTAAACTATAAGTATAGATACAGAAGCCCAAGAAGCAGCTCACAACCACGCTATTTGGATACTGAAGTGTATGCAAAGCCTGGGAAGACTGACCACTTCTATAGCATGATGTGTGCTATGCATTTCTCTCCAGGGAAGGTGAGTAGATGTAGGGCAGCTGCATGCCCAGAGGGTGAAGTCAACTACAGACAAACAGTCTGTCTTCCTGTTTAGATTCTTCTGGACTTCTGACATTCTCCTAAGACTATAGCACATGAAGGTATATCTATAGTGACAACATAGAGAAAGTCACAGAACTATCAGAAAGCAGGAATGTCTCAACAAAACAAAACAAAACCCAAAGTGCAACAGAATTAGAATTCAAGAGTTTAATGAACATTTTCCCAGGAAATAAACAATTCCCTGACAGTAGTTCAGAAACTTTCAGGAATTGTATTTACTCTGTTAGACTAATAAAATATTATTTTAGGCAATAAAACTCTGTTTGGTAGTGATGTACTGGCTTCCTAAGTGTCTGCTCTGTATCATGGTTAGCAGCTTCTGCATATGAGAGATTCGAGCCATTATTTTTCCGACAAGGGGAGAGACTCACTAACCAATTTATGACCCACTGGTGACCATGTGACCCACTGTGTGTTGTTTGGGATTCTCTCTTCTGTAATTAGCTGCCTGGAAAAAGATAAAGAGAAACATTTCCAAGTGAATAAATCACAGTGGAATTTCTTTTCTTGTTAAATTATTATTATACTAGAAAAGCATAAATAACAGATTTTGGGAGGAAGTCGCTGACCTTTTATTTAAGTCATAAATGTCATACGAAGCTGTGTAGGAATGCCTCCATTGCTGCAAAAGAAAACAAACATTTCAGGCTTCTGTGATTCTTGGTAGTTTGACCACTTGCTATAGGAGCCCAGTTGAGAGATAAAGCCGTATAACATTGTATAATTCTCAAATTTTATATCTTATAATTCCCTATCTAGATTCTTAAAATTCTGGAATTAGAAAATATCTCAGAAATCATCTAGTACAAACTCCTCTGGATTTCACCTATAACTTTTCTCTGGCCTCACCTCTGCAAAGGAGACTTCCCAGGACCACAGTGGGCTGAGGTGCCATTTCCTGTGGCAAACATTATTCTCAGCGCTTACCACAGTAATGTTAAGTTCACCTGTTTAAGAAAATGCAAATTTTCCCTTTTCAACCATCTTATTGGCAAAATATCTTAAAGAACTCTAATTCTATTGCTGGTAGTGATGGGGAGAGATGTTTACTTTCCTACACTGATCATGAAAATATAAAGTGTTACAGAGTTTTTGAAAGCCACCTGGCAATATGTTTTAAAATTGAAATACATATACCATCAATATTTTAAATAACCATCTCAAGAATCTAAAAAATGAAAAGCAAACCAAATACAAAGAAATTAGAAGAAAAGAAGTAATAAAGGTAAAAGCAGTAATCAAATAGAAAAAATACAACAGAGAAAAATCCAACAAAGCTAAAAACTGGCTCTTTGAAAAGACTAATAAAATTACTAACATAGAGTAAGAAAAAGAGTATGAATGAATAATATCAGAAATGAAAAATGGGATACCACAATGGGCTCTACAGACATTAAAAGATTATAAGACCTTATTTTAAATGTTTTTTACCTATAAATTTTAAAAGTTAGAAAAAAGGACAAATTCCTTTAAAAGCAAGTTATCAAAAGTGAGACGAAAGAGTGAATTCTGAATAGTTTTACATCTAATAAACAACTGAATCCATAAATAACCTCTGTACAAAGAAAACTCCCAGCTCAAATAATTTTACCAGCAAACTCTTTGTCATTTATCCAAATGAGCTGAAAACTTATACCCACACGAAAAACCTACACACAAATGTTTACAGCAGCTTTATTCATGTTTGCCAAAACTTGGACATAACCAAGATGTCCTTCAACAGGTGAATGTATAAACAAACCATGGTCCAGGCAGACTATGGAATATTATTCAACGATAAAAAGAAATGACCTACCAAGCCATGAAAAGAAATAGAGGAAACTTAAATGCATATTGCCAAGTGAGAGAAGCCAATCTGAAAAGGCAACATACTGTATGATTCCAACCACATGACATTCTGGAAAAGACAAAATTACAGACACAGTAAAGATCAGTGGTTGCTAGGGGTTCGGGTGAAAGGAAGGACGAACAGGTGGAGCACAGGGGATTTTTAGGAAAAGTGAAAATATTCTGCATGATACTATAATGACAGATAAAAGTCATTATACACTCTACATTTGTCAAAACCCATAAAATGTACAACACAGAGAGTGAACCCTAATGTAAACTATGAACTTTAGTTAATAATAATGCGTCAATATTGGCTCATCAATTGTAACAAATGTACTACACTAATGCAAAATGTTAATAATAGGGAAAATAACAGGGGTGGAGATGAGGTGGGGGGTGGTGAGGAAGTATATGGGAACCCCCTGTACTTTCCACTCATTTTCTGTAAACCTAAAGCTGCTCTAAAAAATAAAGTATATTAATTCAAAAATAAATGAGATAGAGCCGTAGCAGATGACTTGGAAGAAGTTCCACATGGTACCACTGAGTGAGAAATGCAATTTACAGAAAAGTATGGAAAATAGGATTCTATTTTTATAAAATAAACAATAACTAAAAAGAATCTCTATCTTCCTAGAATTATATGAATAAAGAAACAAATATAAAATATGGAGGGGTATACAATAGATTCTCAACATGGGATACCTGGGGAAAAGGCAGAGGGGTGAGGAGTAGGGAGTCAAGAAAAAATGGTAAAAAAATAAGACTGAAGATTTTTTAAATATATGATCACAGATTTGCATTTATGAAATATTATGGTTATATGTGGATACATATATAAATTAAAGATTTTTTTTCAAAATTACTTGTCTGTATGTCTGTCTTCCCTACCATACTCGTAGAGGTAAGAAATTGTTTCTTGTTCATCTTTAAATACCCGGAGTCTGGTCTAGCACAAGTCACATAGTATGTATTCAAGAAACAGACCAAACTAAAATAATCAAAGTTTACCTATGAGGCTGAAATAGATGAAATAGGTAGCCCAAGACCCCCAGCTGTATTAGCAGAGCTGAGACACGTCAGGTCCCTAATCTTGAAAAATATTTCCCACTTATCATTTATCACCCTCCTGTCCTCTCATGTCAAAAAATATTTATTGTCTCCTCTTCTTTGCAAGTCATACATTCTTTTTTGAATCCTGAATTATTCTGACACACTCCATGCTTGTTTCTGGAAAACTTCTGAGTATAATACTCGCTAGAACCAAAAGTTGTGGTACAGGCTAAAAATATTAAGAGATTTATGAAGTTTTGAGATCATTTCAGGGTGACAGATCTATCATGGGTTGTAAAGGGAAATCCAAGATGTTTGTATATTCACTTAATCTTCTGAAACAGACTTATCAGTCTATTTAGGCTATAAACATTGGCACCTATCCTCTTGATTAGGCATTACTGGATAAGACAGGCTCCCTCTTTTTGAGGAGCTCATAGCTGAATGGGGGATATGGAGACATAAACTACAAGAAAAGAATCACAGAGCATGCAATGGAGGTGGGTGGGGAAAGGCAGGAATCATAAATTAGGAATTGGGGAGGGAGAGAGGCTTATGGAAAAAGTGATTCTTGGACTGAGTCTCAGTGGCAGAGGACTGCCACACAGAGAAGGGCAAAAAAGCATCATAGCAGAAAGAGGTTTAAGCACGAAGATAGGAAAGATCATGTTTAAGAGCACAAACTTTGGAGTCTTCTAACCTGGATTCAAGTCTTGCTATAGACTGAATATTTGTATTCCCCCCTTACCCTCAATTCATATGTTGAAATCCTAGCCCCCAACGTGATGGTATTCTGGAGATGGGATCCCTGGGGAGTGACTAAGTCACGAGGGGGAAAGCTCTCATGAATGGGATTAGTTTCCTTATAAAAGAGGCTCCAGAGAAATCCCTTGACCCTTCTACCATGTGAGGACACACGGAGAAGATGGCCAACTATGATCCAGGAAGTGAGACCTCGACAGATACTGAATCTGCTGGCACCTTGATCTTGGACTTCTCAGCCTCCAGAACTCTGAGAAATAAATTTCTGTTGTTAAGCCACCCAGTCTGTGATGTTTATAGCAACCCAAATGGACGAAGGCAAGTTTCCAATATGTAATATCAGGCAAGTTTCTTTCTAGACTTCAATTTTCTCTTTAGGAAGATGAGGATAGTGACAGAAACAATCTCAGGAGCATGAGAATGAACGTGAAGTATTTAGCAGGACTCCTGGACATTGTCAACAAGTCACAGACGATGCAAGTATTATTATCGGTATAGCATTAAGGGATGAGGCGAGATGCTATGAGAACATCCATACTAGGCTGTATGGTACTTACTTATTTATGTTTTCCTTTTTTTAATTAATTAATTTTTTAAAAATTATTTGTTTTTGTTCACTGACTCACTTACCTTTTTTTGTAGCTACACCTTAAAATTAAGAATTGATCTTTCTGAATGCACTAGCTCAGTCATGGAGAAACCATGCAGTAGGATCTAAAGAGCACTGGAAGTAGACCTCCAGGGAAATGGAATAAAAGTAGACTTCTCTTTGTTCTTGATGTGTGTCTTGAGAGTTGATTAGTCAACACATTTACGCTGGATAGAAAATTCTGCTGGATACTCCGGGAAGTAAAATAGAATATAGAGTTCTCTATTTCAGTAATCTTTTGATTTAATGCTCGGCAATAAAATGTATGAAGAAAGTAAGCTAATGTGATAGAGAGTGAATGCTGGGGGGACAGAGTAGCATCAACAAAGCCTGGACCTGAGTTACTAAAAAGGGAGAGCGTATGATGAGCAGGGGAAGAAGGTGCCAGGATGAAGCAATAGCAAATGCTTTGGCCCTTAGATGGGAATGAAAGTGATGCTTGAGAAAAATGAAGAGCTTTGCACTTAAAGGTTCTTAACTTTGGATCACTGAATCACTTGGGAGTCCTTAAAACTACCCACGCCTGGACCCCATCCATAGCTATGCTGAGTTAGTTGGTGTGCAGTAGGCTGTAGGCATCTGTATTTTATTATTTATTTATTTATTTATATTTTTTTTGCGGTACGCGGGCCTGTCACTGTTGCGGCCTCTCCCGTTGCAGAGCACAGGCTCCGGACGCGCAGGCTCAGTGGCCATGGCTCACGGGCCCAGCCGCTCCGCGGCATGTGGGATCTTCCCGGACTGGGGCACGAACCTGTGTCCCCTGCATCGGCAGGCGGACTCTCAACCGATGCACCACCAGGGAAGTCCCTAGGCATCTGTATTTTAAAATAAACTTCCCCAGGTGATTGATCCTAAGGAGCAGGCAGGGGTGGGAAGCACTGGCCAAGCTTGGTGAGTGCAGAGAAGGAGGTGTGAGGTGGGTTCAGAAAGGCAGAGTGGCAGGATGAAGGGGACAGAATGAAAACAGCAGAAGCAGTTAAACGCACATGAAAACTCCAGTGATAGAACAGATACAAATTACCAATGATGGTTGTCCAGCTAAGGTCTACCAGTGAAATACATCCATTAGTACACACCATATGGCACTTGTTGAACTTGGCTAAATAGTAAATTGAGCTGGTATTTACCTTGCTGTTTCTACCTTAACCTCATGGTCTTTATATGTTTGTCTTTAACTTGGGAAATTGTTAATCTGTGGTTCTCAACCCTGGCTGCTCATTAAAATACTCTACGTTTTAAAAAAAAAAAAAAAAAGAAAACTGATGACAGCTTCACCCCAGAGACTTCAATTTATTGATCTGGGGATTGGACCTGGACACTAGGAATTTTTAAAAGCTCCTTAAGTGATTTTAATCCGTAGACAGCAATGAGAACCACTGAATTAAACAAACACTAATTCATTAACTGGGAACAGATGTGTTAAAGTTGGCTTAGGCTTCTGATTCCTTCCTGGTGGATTGGTTTAGCAGAACATAGTCAGCAAGGCTTCATGTCCAGGAAATGGAGCCCAGCACAATGAATCAGGGCAAATATTACGAGCGGGAGTTACCATCCCAAAATGGGAAACGGAGTACGGGATGGTCGGCATGGCCTGAATACAGGAGCGCTGGTGTGTGGGATAAGGTCACTCAGTATTTACTATTTATTCCAGAGAAAAATGGCAGAGGTAGGGATCCCCAGCTTTGTATTTTGTTTTCAAGCAGAATCTCTCTACAGGTTTTTAATCTTTCCGGTATGTCTCAAAACTTCCTATACTCAACAACCGTTGTCAAATCCATGAATAATCAAAAAGCTGCAGTGAAAGTCACTGGCAATTGGCAGCCACCCTAAACATGAGAAGGATGTGTGATTAGGCTGTAACCTTTCCTCAATGTGTGAGAATTTGATGTTGGGCTGGGCAACTGGAGGAAGCTGAGCACTCCCTGCAGGGCACTGATGACCTGTGCTGAGGCTGCCCCTTTGGTACGGTTTGTATATGGTGGGACCTGGGGGCTGGGAGGTGGTCTGAGTCACCGTGCAGAGTCTCTTCTAGAGAATGAGAAGTTTAACTGTTTTTAAAGCAAATACTTGAGAGTTTTAATATATGTCGAACTGAGACAAAGGAAATAAAGTGTTCTATTACTGGATGTACAAGTCAGACATGTACACATACTTTTAAATTATAAGTTCTATTTTATTAACTTATGTTTTTAGTATCTATGTATAATATTACTTTAGCTTTTTAGTATTTGAAAACCCTGAAAATGAATTTTTTAAAAAACATGCATTAGACTTATCTTTTATGAATGAGAATGACCATTTCTCCTTCTGATACTGAATTAATGAGTTTTTAGCGCCTACGGTTTTACTTAGGTGTCAATCCTAAATAGTCACAGACTTGAAATCAGTTATAAAATAACGTACTCATAGGATTCTTTAAATGTCACAGTAAAAAAGCATTTCTTTTACCTTCACATAGTTGTATTCGAAGAGAATATATTGTCTATCAGGAGATACTGAATAATCATTTATAGAATATCCAAATTCATCCTGTCAATCAAGTAGAAAAAAGAACAATTGAACGATTCCATTTAACTGCCGTTATTGAGTACTTACTGTGTAGAGGGTACGGTTCTAGACTTGTGTCTGGTAGCTTGAGAGGTTCCCGTCTAGAAGAGGGGGCACACTCCCTCACACAAATGACCATGAGGCAAGGTGGGTGGTGATCAGGGTTAGAGAATCAGGGAGGGAAGGATTTATTTTAATGAAGGAAAGATGGCTATGTGGGTGGGGATCAGGAGCAGAGAGAGAACTTCCTCAGGAGGGGAAACAGTAGGAGTAAAAACCCAGATGCAGAAAGGGCATGCATATTTAGAGACTGCCTAAAGGTTAGTTGTAACCTGAATACAGCATAGGGTGCGTCAGACAAAGAGAAGACATAAAATTAGAAAAATAGCCAAGGCCTAGATATAAGAAATAGACCTATGAACTACTTTTTTTTTTTTTTTTTTGCGGTACGCGGGCCTCTCACTATTGTGGCGTCTCCCGTTGCGAAGCGCAGGCTCCGGACATGCAGGCTCAGCGACCATGGCTCACAGGCCCAGCCGCTCCGCGGCATGTGGGATCCTCCCGGACCGGGGGACAAACCCATGTCCCCTGCATCGGCAGGCAGACTCTCAACCACTGCGCCACCAGGGAAGCCCTGAACTACTTTTTGCACATAGATGTGATAGAATCCTATCTGGCTTTTACAAAGATGCTCTGGTAACCCAGTGGCTGAGATGAGACGAGAGGGGAGGGGTTACAGTAGCCCTGGACTTGGGCAATGCCGTGGTCTGATTTACAGAATGGAGAGAGGGACACTCGTTAGAATACTGTCACAAGATTAATCAAGGCTTCGAACCAGGACTATACCGTGGAAATGGAAATCCGAGAGACACTTGACGTTGCAAGGGAGGACTGATAGGTTTTGTTGAGTAGCTAAATAAGGGGAATGCCAGAGGAATCAAGGATTCTGAGGTTTCTAGCTTAAGTGACTTTGAAGAGGGCGCTTTTTACCAAGATTGGGAACTCAGGAAGAGGACTAGTATGCCTTCCGTTTGCTAGGAGAGGGAAGGGGAAATAACTAGTTTAGCTTGGGACACTGAGTTTAAAATGACTGCAGGCCATCCATGTGCCAGAACCGGCAAGCTGTTGGAAACAGAGGTCTAGATCTTGGGAGGAGGTTAGTGTTACAGGCATGTATTTGAGAAGCACCTGTGCTGTGGAAGTGCATGGAATTCGCTGAAGGAGAGCATGCAAAGTGAGGAGGGAGGGTAGCAGTGAAGACACGGCCCTGCAGAGCACTTACACGTAAGAGTATGAGCAGAGGAGGAGGAATCGTCAAAGGAGGCTAAAAAGTAGCCAAGGCAGGGAGCATTCCAAGAAGAAGAGAAAGATCCACTGTGCCATATGCTGCAGAGAGAGTCCAACAGGATGAGAAATGATAGTACTCATGATTTGAAAGGTTATGAAAAAGAAAATCCCCAGAATTCCCTGAAAGCATGAATTAATTATGTGATTAAACATACAAGTGTACTGTTCTCCAAGAACATGGAGCGGTTTCCATATTCGGCATTGAATAGCAAGATATTATTTTCTTGTTTGTAGAGATATTCATGATCTAAAGAGAGAAAACGGCCAGATCAGTATTTCAAGCTGCTTTTAAACATCTTCATAAGCTAAAAAACCATGCAATAAAAATTTAAGACAAATTCACACAAGTACTAAAAAGGCATTTCTAAGTTGGAAAAACATGAACTGATGAATATCACACTAGTATGCCTTCCTTTTTCCATCATTATTGTAAAGGGTTCAATTCACATTTAACTTTTTACAGTACGTATCAGAGAAATACTCAAGTTTCTTTCTGTCTTATCCCCCTTTCCACCCTTAAGTAGAAAAAAAAATACTTTCCCATACGGTTAAAAAAAAATAAGAATATTTTCTCAGCGCCATAAAAGTGCCCCACAACCTAACCAGAATGAAAATAACCATAAAAATCAGCCCCCTCTCCGCCAAAAATCCTTACCTGAAATCCATTGCAAGGTGTAGAACTTCACTCTAAAAGTATTTTTTAAGTAATCGGTTAGGGTGTAGGTTCTGCGACTGTCAGCTGTAGCATCATCTGCTGGTTGGAAAAAAGAGCCAAATGTTCAGTAAGACGGGATAACCTGTTTCGCATAAAAAAATAAAATAAAATAAAACAAAAGGATATATACACTAGTCACAAAATACAGAAACACACTGACAAAATGCAAAACACATTTTGAAAGAGTTCGGACTGAGAAAAAGGGTAACAATGCATTTAGCTGTTCAAGTGTTTGCGAGAGCGTGTTTTTCACGGTGCTACATTAGTGAGCTTCATTTCGAAGGTCTAGATCAACAACGTCCAAGGGAAATATAGTGTGAGTACACTTTCTAGTAGCCATAGTTGAAAATTTTTAAGGTGAAATTAATATTTTATTTTAGCCAGTATATCAAATATTTTTATCACTTCAGTGTGTCGTTGTTTTTATATGTTATTAATAGACCTTTCACATTCTTTCTGTTCGTACTGTCTTTAAAATCTGATATGTGATTCATGATTACAGTATATCTCATTTGAATGGGCACCTTCCCAGTCAATGCAATCATGCAGTGGATGGCACGAGGCTAGATGATCCTTTCGTGAGGCCGTGAGGTCCACTTCTAAGCCCTCTTGCCCTGCAAAGACCTTTAAGATATACTGATCACCCAGTTCAGAGACCTTCGTTTCTATCATCATTTTTGCTTGAATTTGATTAAAGTTTACATGAAACCTCTCCCTTGGATTCTGTGACAGCCTCAGTCCTTCTCCTAACTCTCTGACCATTATTTTTCCATCTCCTACTTTGACTCTATTTTTCTCCACTGACCTGTAAGGCAGAAATGCTTTGATATTAGTCTTCAGCTTTCTCCTCCTCTCTCTCTACGGTTTTCCTTCCAGGGAACTCCAGAGAATGTGAGTTCCAGGGCTTCAGGCATACTTACCATTTAGATGAATGACAGTATCTGCTCTCACTACCTTAGCCTACCGCACCCACGCTTACATTTCCAGTGCTGTGTTCAGCCTTCTTAGTTGACTTGCCCCACTCTAACCCTATACATACCCTGTCTAAAATAATTGTCTTCCTTCCAAAACTAGATTTCCATAGGAAATTTGTGTGGTTTCATATTCTGTTACTGAAGACGCCAATTCAGAGGCTGAAGATCATTTTGATGTCTCCCTCTTTTTTACCATCCCCTACAACCAATCAACCCTATTGACTCTTCCTACGAAACCTGTTCTCCAGATATCCCTGCCATCAGGTTCTCCCAATCCAATTCCTGCCCTGCACCGTCACCGGAATAATCTTTCTAAAATGCCACTTTCATTCTGGTGATCTCTTCCTCAAAAGCTTCCAACGAGTCCCCACTGTCTACAGGGAGATTCAGACTGCTTAGCCTGGCAGTTGCAGCCCCACAGTCTGATGTGAGACCTTTCCAGGCTTATTTTCACTCTCTCCCTGCAAGAACCTTCTAACCTAGTCACACTGATCTGCCTACTGAACCCAGCAGATCTTCTTAGGCTTGTCTGCCTCTACTCCTTGTCCTAAGCCACTTCCTGGCATGCCCTCAACTGCTTCCCCATCTGTCACAAGCCTCCCTCCTCCATTTCCCACCTCTGTCACGAAGACCTCAATTCGGCCTCTGACTTTTGCCCCCATGCTACTCATTGGGCTCCTGTCACTTACTAACTTGTGTTGATAACTATTTTTCCATGCCTGCCTGTGTAATCTACTCAGCTGGGCCATGTATTCTTTTGAAGACAGGGCTTTGGGTTTTTGTTCATTGGTTTGGGGTTTTTGTTTTTGTTTTTCATCAACCTTAGCATCTAGCACAGTTGTATGGCATAAAAGACACACACACAAAAAGTTTTTGTTGATTGGAGTAGGGCATCATCCTATAAGCACAGTCAAGCCAGTGTGATTCCTCTTCCTCAATCCCAGAGCCTCCACTGATGACAAATACCTTAAAGTCTTTTTCCAAACTCTCTACATTTTCCACGTACGTGTAAACATACGCTCACAAAATCAGCCACTACCATAACATTCCTATAACTGCAGTTCTTTTCAGGGATTTCAAAGCCAGCAGTATCTTCTCGTGTTAATTTTTTACAGCCTGTGGAGAAGTAGATCTCGTATAGGAAATGCTCTTTCAAAAAGGGTTCTTGGGTTTCCCTGGTGGCGCAGTGGTTGAGAGTCCGCCTGCCGATGCAGGGGATGCGGGTTCGTGCCCCGGTCCGGGAGGATTCCATGTGCCGTGGAGCGGCTGGGCCCGTGAGCCATGGCCGCTGAGCCTGCACGTCCGGAGCCTGTGCTCCGCAACGGGAGAGGCCACACCAGTGAGAGGCCCGTGTACCACAAAAAAAAAAAAAAAAAAAAAAGTGTTCTTAAGGTTTTATTTCTTTGGATTTGATCTGATAACATAGTTTTGTTTCTGCCTATAAAAACTTCAGCTTCGATAGATAAAGTTGCTACCCTTTATTTTATTATTTTATTGATTTTGTTTAAGCCTAGTTTGTTAAGTAAAATATTCTTTTAAAAACTTTTGTTTTTCAATTCAATCCTGCATTTCTCCCCTGAAAGTTAATAAGATATTTGTGTTTGTTAGCAAAAATACAGCAAGTGAGTAATGCCAGTCCTTGAGTTTAACCTTTAAATAAGAAGTAAAGCCTTGTGCTACAGAAAATAATATTTGAAACTCATGTTGGACTACAAAATTACAAATCTGGATTTGTTCATTAAACACCCTCAGTTGTTTGTATTCATCCAATCATCCTATTATATAAAAATAGTTATAAAGTATCATTGTTGAGGATAAATACCCTGCTATCAAGAGCTATTAGTCTAAAATGAATATAAAACACATCCCCAAATTAGTACAAATCAAGGTATCAGTGGTAAGAGACATTCACAATCCTAATATTATCTGCTGATGTAGATGTTTAGATAGATCTGTAAATAGAAATAGATCAATTTATACACACACGCATATATTACAACCAACTGAATGTCTGTGTCCCCTCAAAATTCACATGTTGAAATCGTAACAGCCATATGATGGTATTAGGAGGGGGAGCCCTTGGTAGGTAATTCGATCATGAGTACTAATCCTCATGAGTGGGATTAGTTCCCTTTAGAAAGTGACTCCAGAAAGCTCTCTCACCCCTTCTGCTATGTGAGGACACAGGAAACGGGTCCTCACCAGACACTAAACACCGAATCTGCTGGCATCTTGATCTTGGACTTCTAGCTTCCAGAACTGTGAGAAATAAATGTTTGTTGTTTAAGTCACCCAATCTCTGCTATCTTTATAACAGCAGTCCACACATACTAAGACATACATATCTATAACAAGACAGACGTATCAACATAAAGTGTCTATCACTGACTCTTGATTTTGTGAGAATGAACTGCATACCTACAATATAGATCAGATACAGTGTTATCTCACATGAGGGTATTTGCCCAGGTTTTAAAGGACAACACACTTCAATCTGGCATAATAAAATAACTGAGACAAAAATCCCCTGTGAGGTCACCTGCTGCCCTGCATGCCGCTCTTCCTTGCTGGGCACTTACCTCTCCTGCCTCTTCGCCTCAGATGTCACTGGGCTCATCCTCTCATCAGGCCTCAGCCTTTCTAAACCCATCATCTCTGCCAGATTCAGACTCCCTTCTGCTCATAATGGGCTCAGCGTGATTTCGATCCATCTGCTGATGTTCAGATATCCATACTGATGCCAGGCCGCGTTCTTGCTATGGCCCAGGACATGGGTGCAAGGCCTGAGCCACCCTTGGCTTGTGTTACCCTCTCTCAGCTCCTTTACAACGACCTTCAAGCCGGGTTCCCTATCCTGGCTCCCCAGACCCCAAACACCACTGAAAAACTGGAACAAGCAGAGCAACAAATGTTCCTTGTTTTTTGCCTTGTCATTTGAAAAGCAGCGCAAACTGGAAGATGCTTTCAAAACATCTAGATAAGCGAGTTCTGTGAGACGTGAGTGCCAAATCCAGGTTTTGACCTTTAGCAAGTTCATAGTTTACTGCCAAGTTACAACCTATTCTGTCAACACCAGAGGACACGCCCACATTTCTCTTTCCTTGTCTGATTGCTCCCTGACAGGGCACCCGTGCAACAACAGGTGAAGGTCTTGGGCTGCTAGTGTGGTCTTCCTGGTGGGCCTGGGGCATATCGTTTATTTGACTTATCAGTTTAAAGCATTATGCTAGCCAAGCAGAGCAGCTAATCATATGTTACCCATCAGTTTCCACAGAAACTCCTAGATTCATGTCTCCTTGAATTTAAAAATCAAAAAACGGTTAACAGCTTTATACTTTACTGTTTTGCTGAGACCAACTATTAGGTTGAACCATACGAAAATGCCATTTTTATCAATCAAAAATGGCAGAATAACAGCTTTTAAAATGGTTCAACTTAACAATAATTTCTCATCAAAGTGTATGGTATCTTAATGAGCCCTGGTTGTAGGATCAAACTCTTTTCTGAATAAAAGGAATTCCAGAATTCTAAGTAAGAGAGTGGTGTAGTTCTACAGAATAGTCTTGCTTTAACCGATGGTTATTTTATGATTACAGGATATTTTGAATTTTTTTATATTCATTAATAATAACCTTTTTTTGTCTGTATGTAACTGTGATATAAAATATTTCTACCTCAGAAAGAGAAACTGTTTGGGGAAATAAATGGTTAATGAAATGCAACTAAAAGGAGAAGTGCTCTTTATAGCTCATAAACTCATAAAGTTGTTAAACATGGGGAATAGATATCTGGTTATAGAGTTTTTGTGTTCCATATGCTAATCAGTTAACATTTTATATTGACGCTAAGGAAATAAAATGAGTGTTACTTTACAATTTGCTCTAGCAAAATAGCAGCCTTGACATTGGGACAGAGGAAGAAAAATCAAGAAGGCAGAAGAAGAAATTGACTGGAAAGTTGCTCACATCCTTTATTCTCCAGCAGCACGCGCGGGCTGCCACCCATCACCAATGATTCAACAAATACCAATAAGGGGTTGGGTCCCTGGTGGCTTTGAAATCAGAG